CTTGTCGGCGTGGTCCAAGGAGTTATGGCTTGGCGGAGGTCCTGGGATATGAGGCAGGTGGCTTTGTGACAATGTCGGATCATGAGCAAACTGCTGCCATTGAGGATTAATCGTGGGATGCAGTGAATCATAACCCTGCACACATTGGTTAAAGCCCGGAGACGGCGCATTATTGGCGTTGTTCCATGCTTGACTATCCGGAAGCATGGATATGGGGGAGCCATGCTGGGGAGGCCTCGGGAGAGAGCCCACCGGAAACCCCTGTGCATTGCCAGACTGATACACAGTCGGCACCCAGGTGATTTTTCCCGGATCAATAGTGTACATGGGGTAGATCGGGAGCGTAGGCAGCTGCGATGGTGCATAAAACTGCTCAACCGGCACATTGACCAACGGTGAAGGAAGACTGGGTTGCCACATAGCTCCGGGATTGAATGCAGACGAGACGCTTGGAGCAAAGTCATAACTCGAGCCCTGTCGATCATGATCTCCATCCACAAAAGACGCTCTGTTCTGGTCTGACATAGTTCTAGCAGGAGGATGTTTCGGTGAACTTCCACCATCAGTAGGCTCCGGCCCCATGGGCTGTGTTGGTTTGAGCTCCGGCCTAATTTTACCGCCACGCTTAGCAGGAGCCCTCCAGGACCTCGAGCCACCCAGCTTTGCACCCTGTTCCACAGCTGGGAGGTTCATCTTCGGAGGCGCCACCTCCGACGCCATCGGGACGATGCGTCCACCGGCAGTGACACGCTGATGCCTGGGGGACGTGTGCGTCTTGAGGAACCGCACAAAGCCAGCGTCAGTGTGTTCAAGATCTCTCTGAGAGGACTTGTTGGTCCGACGAGGTGGTCCATGGGAGCGAGAGCCAATGCTTGAGGCAACGCCCTCGCTTCTCCTTGAGAGATTCGAGATGACCCTTGGTTTGTTGATCGACTGTTCAGATAGAACACCGGCATCATGCTCTCGCACCAGGTTGTCTGATATCATCGAGCGTTCCTAGTCAGCACAAAGACACGCAATACTCTGTCTACAGGAGGAATGCATACTGCCTCGTGCCTGGTCACTGAATCTGCTGGGGTCTATGTGAGCGTTTTGTTTCATGCGCATCAACGTCTGGATATCGTATTTGGCCATGTTTGCTCCCGAGAGTGTAAAACAAGGAAATGCCTATTGATAGTTAGGAGGAATGAAGCGAGAGAATGGTAAAATGTATGTGAATCCAAAGGTAGGGAATCACGTAGGAAATCAAGGAAGCCACGCACGTAAATTGGCCCTTCCCTCCATAGGGCACATCTTCTTGTCGTGGATCAGCCCGCGTCACGCCCAGCTTGGGAAGGTGCACACCAAAGAACCAGTCAAGCGCATTGTTACTGGACAACTGAAGGAACAAAAGACAGTTTGACTGCATTGAGTAAACAGTAGCTCTCTCTTTCACTGATTACGTTGATCTTTTTTGGCATGGAGATTGAAGGTGTAAGATATAGATAGGGGTTGTTGATTAAGGCTATATAAGTTAACGAGTAGTAAATAATAAGACGCAATCCCATCAAACATTCTCCCGAGCAACAACCGGCTTCGACACAGTGTGGTTCTGCCACTCCTCCCTAAACTCATCATCAAACGGGGACAGCCGCGGCGCTTGATCCTCAGTACGACTCGGGGCATCATCAGTCTTTGGCTGCCCCATTTCCCAGCTTCCCACACGTTCATGACCGTGGACAATCGTAGCACCATTGACGTGGTAAGGGTTATTACTACCAAGCTGCTGAGGGTCATCCGTCTTCACGTTATCAAACTCCGAGGAATTGAAAACAACATCCGAATCACTAGCCATCTTGCTATTGCCCTTGAAACCTCCCAGGTTCAAATTGCGGGTGCGATTCTTGCGGAACCCTTGGATCAAGAATCCAATGATCAAGAACACGCCCAGGGCAACAATAGTAATAACCCCGCCAACCACACCCGCAACAGCAGGCCGTAGCCCCCTACAGCGCTCCGAGCCACTCCCACCTTGACGGGACCCAGAAGAGCAAAAGACAGCGTCTGAATTGCACTGCAGACACCACTCCTTCGTCGATCCCAGCGAGAAGTCGCTCATCTCCTCGCGGAACTCGTTATAGGGAATTGCCTCGTTGCTGGGACCGTTCCCAAAGAGAGGGTAAGACTGGAACCCGGAGTCGGTGCCGTTCCGCAAATAGAACCGAACAAACAGATCCGAGGGTTTCGGATACGTGGGGTAGTCGTTACCCTCAAGGCTGTAAAGCTCAAAGACAATCGACGCACCGCGGACAGGGCGGGACTGGAAATTCCCATGCTGCGGCGACGCAAGCTGCAGGAGCGACGTGAGGGCGACAACGGGCTCATACCCGCCAAAGACAAGGTGCATCATGCCATCTGTGCCGCGGAATTGCACATTCGTGTCGAAGGCGGCCAGGATCCGGGACGCCAGAGTGCGGCCTGCGATGCTGCGGACTTTCGCGGTGCCGATGGCGCTCGAAGTGGATATGTTGCCGTTGGTGTCGTGGACGTAGCGATCTGCGAAGGCTCGCGCATGGCCAATGCTGTCGGCGCCTATGTGGTTCAGCAGGGTCTTGTTGTGCGCTAATTGATAGTCCAGAAATTCTGAAATCTCGCGCGCGTTCACGTAGCTGGCTGAGGATTCTTCGAATGCGCCGGACAGCGCAGAGCCCCACAACGTGTTGTAGAACGCCGCAGACTCTTGTATGAGTTCATGGGTGTCGGGGCTGGAAAGATACTCGGAGTTGGCAGCCTGGTGCATCGGGCAAGCGGCCTGACCGTCCACGGTGATCGATCGAGGGTCCATCGGGTTAACCGTGGTAATGCGAGGGTATTGGTATCCATTCAAAGGGAAGGTCATCGCGGAACCGTTCGCCAGGTCGAAAGTAGGATCGTTGTATTTCCCGGGGAACGAAGCGTTGAGAGGCGGATAGAGGCCCTGCATGAATGCTTGGGCGGACGCAACAGCTGGCTGGTCGTCGGTCGTGACGACTTTGATGTCCTCGCTTTTGAGGAGGTAAGGCGATATACTCTCAATTCGCGTGCTTGGACGACCACCGCTTCCATGGAGGGCAACGTAGCGATCACGGAACGCAGACCCTGCCGCATGTAGCTCGCTGGCCCCGTATGGGGTCAGCATCTGAGGACGAGGCAGGGCTTGCGGCACGCTGTCGCCGTGAACAGTGTAGGCAAAGACTCCCCATGTTTGCTCACGAAGCGATTGAGCGGGGACCAGGGCCGCGTGCGATGCCGCCAATATGGCGACCGCATGGGAATAACTCAGCGCAGGCATTGCAGCGGATGGATCGTGAAACTAAGAAACAGCTAGTATTCGAAAGATCGCAATGCCGCTATTGACATAATATAGGCCAACCCAAAGGCGAAGAATCAAAGAGCCAGATTATCACGCACGAACGACAACAACCCAAAGCATGTTCCGGCAGTCCCAAGCTTTAAGAGGACAGGAACCCAAGGGGGACTTCTGCAATGGAGGTTATACCATGGTTCGGAAAAGGGTCGAGGGGAAAGTCAGGCACCGCAGTAGACTTTTGCAACGTCTAACCCTATTGCTAGAAAGCCGTGACGACATCAACATCTCTCCCCCACCCGACAGGAACTGGTCGAGGGTATCCATGGGCTCAATGGCGGTTGCTTCGGCAGGAGCTCCTGATATGCAACATCAGGCCCCTGGGGATCCATACTAAGGAAACTTATGCCCTGCTACGAGTGTTGGTGGTTTGGTTAATCGGACTAGGGCTTCACGCTATGGGAGAAGGACTATGAGTTGTTAGCCCTTTCTATGAAAATCCTCTTCGTAGGTTGAAGACTAATTTAATTCTTCCCAGCCCATGGCATGTAAGATGTGACGGAGCAGTACGAAATAAAACGAAATAATTGTGATTGAAATGTCTTGGTTTCACGTCGATCTATGGTAACTCGCGGGATCCCGAACCCGCTCCATCTATGACGTGTAGACTGATGACAGTGGTAGTAGCATTCCACCAAAGCAACCCTATTAGAGCAAACGAGACAAATAAAAAGAGAATCTGGATAACAGACCTTTACAAGAATGGCACTCGATTACTGCATAGGGTGATATTGGAAAGAAGACAGATGGATGCAAAGTATTCAAGACTGGAGTCCAAGTTGGATACCGAGTTAGGGTTGCAATGCCTGCGATGCTGGATTCTTGGCGGTCTCGATTCGAGCATCAGGCCTAGACTTGTGTGTGCTTGAGATAGAAAAAAGTCTACAAGATATGGGAGTTATAAAAATTTTGTCAAGGGTAGTAGTGCTCCAGCGTCCTATCATGATCTCGTGGTGCAGTGTATATCATGTTCCTGACCCTGATACTCCCTGTCTACATACATGGACGCCACCTTATTGAACTATCAAGTAAGATGGGTCTTGAAATTAAAGACTAGAGAGAACTATCTGGCAAATATCTAGAAACCTACAAGAAGAGCCTTAATGATCCCGTAGCAAGCATTACAAAGCTGGAGACTATAATGTTATCTAGTGGCGCCTATGTATCACTTCACTCCTGTTAACCCCTCCTACCACATTTCCCTCGAATTTAAGTTGTAGCATGTAATGGATGAATTATATAGACCACTCTCGCATGAATTTTTTTGTCAATACAATATACGTCTTGAATAGCGATCAGTTATGTGGCCTGCGTAGTAAAACTACGACCAACTGGTGAATTTACCTAGAGTTGAACAAGTGTAATGACTAGAACTGTCAAAATTCCAACCACATATTGTAATTTTTTTTTTATTTTAAAAAAGAACTTCTTGAGTGTTCTTTTGAACTTCACAACTAGATAGATACCCCAATCTATCACATTATTAATTGATCGAGTTGTTCAGATCAAAGTATTCGGGCCGAACGCGGGCAGTTTTAGTTCTCCGCCTGGATCGTCACTTTCAGCCACCCAGTTCAGTCACTCAACTCTCTTCAGCTCACTCTCTTATTCTTATATTCATTAAGCTCCCCCCTATTAGCATATCAACATATTTCAATTGGTCTACTGTCCAGCAGTGAATCCTACCCATTTATTATTCCCTACCAGAATTGGTTCTGTGTCTCGGGCAGTCCTGGCCTCTTTGAATGAAAGAAAATTATAATAGCTCAAGTCACGACCGCAACCTTGCTACACAACATGTCCAACCAATCGTCATCACAACTGCCTTCCATCCCGCCCTCCTCCCAACCTCCACCTGCATCACAAGACCCTCAGCCACCTTCCTCGTCCTGCGCGCCAACGGGAGAACCAGCGGCAGCACCGCCCGCTTCGTCATCCGAGACCCCTGTCGTGCCCAAGCAAGAGGAGCCCGATACCCAAGACAGTTCCATAGATCCCACGATCGAGCAGGACATCGAACTGGATCCCGCGAAAAAGATGGCGAACAATGAAAATGGCGATGACGCTGGTCCCTTAAATCCTGCCCAAGAGGCCGCCTCCGCTGATGCGCTAGCGGCCGCAGCTGCGCCGTCGAAGAAAGAGACCAGTCTCCGTGAATTCTTGGGGAAGATGGACGAATATGCGCCGATCGTACGTCTACTATTCTCTCCCTTTCGTGTTCTTTCTATTATTTTCTCCCTTCCTCCTGCCCTATCCCCGCACCCTAGGTTCCTTCTAGACCCATCTAACGCGCAACAGATCCCCGACGCCGTAACAGCACACTACCTGACCCTAGCCGGCCTCCCACCACCAGGAAACGGCCCCAACCAAACCCCCCCACACCTCGCCCGACTCCTTGCCCTCGCGACCCAGAAATTCGTCGCCGACATCGCAGCCGACTCATACCAGTACGCGCGCATCCGCGCGTCGAACAGCTCATCCGCGAGCAACCCCATGGGCAGTCTGAACGCCGCCTCGGGTCTCGGCATGCCCGCGGGCGCAGCGGGCGCCGCAGCAGGTGCCGCCGCGGGTCCCTCGGGGGCAGACGCCAAGGGCAAGGCGGGCGCGCATCTCGGTATCCAGCGCCCTGGCTTCGGTGGCGGCGGGTCGGGCGGGTCTGGACAGGGGCGGACGGTGCTCACCATGGAAGATCTGGGGATGGCAGTTTCCGAGTACGGTGTCAGCGTGAAGAGAGGCGAGTTCTACCGGTAGAGGATATGCTATCACCGCGTTGTGTGGCTTGTCCTTTCTTTTCATTGCTTTCTTTCTTCCATTTTACATTTTGTTCTTCTCTCTCGGCGGATAGCGGAGGTGAAGATGGAGATACCCCGTCTTGGAGGATATATTTTACGCTGCGGGTTGATTTATTGATTGATCGGTGTGGGTCTGGCTTGGGTTTTCTCACTGGCGTAACTTTGCGGTCCAAGAATGACGATAGTCTACAGCCCTTCGGGACTGCACGACGGCAGTATGGTTTTTGCATAGGCGTTACCGGAAGGAAAGAATCATGAGTGTTTCTCCGCTGTTGCTGGTGGTGCTGCTGCTGTTCACAAAAGCAAGGCAAGGCAAGGCGAATAGAAATTGACAATTCGAATCACTACCTTCCTATCAATGTTCTCAATCAACATTCATAGATTGACCAATCCAATGGATAATGTTGATGACGATGATGATGACTACATTCCACATTTGACAGCTAATTTACATGCAACACATTGTATAGATTTACATCAGGCAAAAAAAGGAAATAGGATGAAAACGCCAGTAAAGCAAGACGATGCAAGTCCAAGCCAATGGCCAGATTGCTGCCACAGCCCTGACCCAGGATAACAGGATGGACCTTACGTATCCGTCGAAGACAGGTATGGGGAAAATATAAAAGAAAAGAACTCCACAAACCGCACAAACAGAGGAATGCAACAGCGAGCAAGACACCCAGTACAAAAGGTACCGAGTCTATTTGTTCTTGGACTGCTTGTAGGTGAAACGCTTGCGGGTACTGTAACAATGCCAAAATCGCGAGTTAGCTATCCGTTCATACTCAATTCATCCATGCCCAAGAGGAAGACGACACGCTCTCAAAACGAACGGCGCTGACCAAGTCTTTCTCATAGCGGAAGAGGGGGAAAGCCGGGGGACACATACGGCACATATTCACCCAATTTCCTCCCCACCATCTCCTCCGTAATTATGACATCCTGATAATTTTTCCCATTGTGCACCGAGAACCGCAGGCCCACGAAGTTAGGCAGGATGGTCGCGCCGCGCTTCTGCGTCTTGATCGGCGGAGTTCCCGGCGGAGGGGGCAATTTGCGCGGAAGGGGGAGACTAATTATCGGATTCGAATATTAGCATTCACAATGCTGAGAATAGAGCCTTGAAATTGGCATTTCTGAAACTGAGCGTATGGGTTCTTTTGGCCGGGGGGACTGGAGAAGAATTTCAAGATGGGTCGGGTGGGTTGCACGTACGGGACGATATTCGGGCCTGTCGGTGGTGGCTATTGTCAGTGGTTGTTGCTTTTCCTTAGTAAAATAAGTAGATAGTAGAAACTTACCCTTCCAGACGGAGCGCGATAGCAATGCGCGAGTGGGAAACATCTTGTTGGGTGCTGGTGGTGGAGGTGCCTGCAATTGCGATTCTGATGCCGATATGAGTTCCAGTTTGATTCCGCGGTGTTGCGATTAGTAAGCGGTTCTCCACCCGCTTCTAGTCATCGCTGAAAATACACTTAGAATTTGGTGAATTATGATGGAAAGTACTATCTCAGACTTGATCCATGTGAATTTCATTGTTCTGGTGTATATACGCTACTTATATTTATCCAAATGCAATAGAGTGCCACGCACTCGATGATCGTGCGGAACATCAAGAGCAGATGCATGGGCCTGGGTTGCTCAAGTCGCCAGCGACTTGGCCAAGTAGGTGCCCACTATACAACGTCGCTATTACTCCGAAGCAAATGCCTCGAAGATGTTCGCCAGGTTCCGGATGCCCATGAGCACGTTCTCATCGGGCCCTTGACCAGGGGTCCATTCAGCATGGGCAAAGTCGATCAATCGAAGGTCGTGGACCTTGGGGGCTTCCTCCTCATCCTCGTCCTCTAGCTCGCCGATTTGGCCCATCTGGGCTGTCTCAGGGTCAATGGTGATATTTACTGCCTGTTGAGGAGCACCAGGTTGGCCACCGGGAAGATCCACCACTTGGAAAGAACCGTCTTGTTGCAGTTCCAGCTCAAAGTCCTCGTCCTCTCCCTCGGACTCATCTTCGGAGGCCTCCTTTGGCTTGGCCTCCTCCACGAGCGCATGTTCCATGGCCTCTGGGTCCCCTTCGTAGACTACCAGAATGCTGGCAGAGTACATCCGGCTTTCCTCAGACTCAATGGCTTTTTGCAAGCGCTTTAGATCGTCTGCCAGTTTCGTTGCGAGCAGCTTGGAGCGATCAGTTGATCCAGCCTTTGCCCCCGCAAGGAAGGTCGCAAAGCCTTCCTTGACGGTACCGTCATTGAGCGACCGCCCATACCACTTGTCGTAGCGCCGGAAGCCATCCTTCTCGACCACTTCCCCTTTCTCGCCTTCCTTGCCTTCGTATTTGGTGGCGTAGGGGTCGGTCTTGGCCCCCTCATCACTTTCTCCGTTCTCGCCAGTCCACACCTTCATCCCTGCTATCCGGAACCCGAGACTGCCACTCGTTGTTTCCTGGGACACTGCGTCTAGCTTTTCTCGTTTGGACGGAGGCGCATCCTCTGCCCAAAGCCTCGCTCCCAGCTTCACATCGATGACGTTGGGTCGCTTGAACCCAGACGCGACATTTTCCAACACGATCGACAATCCTGTATCGAGTTTCTTGCCGCCCGACGGTACCCATTCTTCTTGTCCCGTCGCCTTGGAATCGGATCCGGTCGCCTCGTTAGCTGGGCCTCCTCCAGCAGGCGGCGGGGTATTGGAGGCCGACGAGTAATCCGAGCTCGGGAGAACGATGGCGCCGCTTTGTTGGGCCGCAAGCGCAATCGGCTGTTGCTGATCCCCGGAACTCAGCGTTCCGATGAAGGTGGGCATAAATGCCTTGAAGGCGGGATGAAGGGCGCTGGTCTCATAGAAGGCGATTTCCTGGGCGGTGCAAGGCTTTGCGATAAAGGAGCCGGACTCGGTGCAGCGGACACCTTCACTATCAAGGGAGACGAGTCAGTATTGAGCGATCCCAGGATTAAGTAGCTCATCAGGCTGATCCGAAAAGTCATGGTATTTTCGGTCCATTTCCTCGGGTAGCAGAGGTAAGCACTTACTGTCCAGCAGCGGCATGGTCAAACGCGACAAAGCTATCGCCATCTAACTTTGGGGCTTTCGAGCCATTAGACTTCGATGGGGAGGGCATTTTGCTTGTATAGGGCGCAATAAAAATAAAATAGAATCGGTAACAGAGAAAAGGTGATTTGCTTCAAAATAGCATTCCGGTAGACCAGGCGTCCGGACTTCAAGGATCAGGGGACAAGATGAAAACGAAGCCACTCAAGATACACAGTCAAATGAGAGAAAACAAAAAGTTATAATGTATGTGCAGAAGCTTAAATGCATGAACCCCTCAAAAGATGATGATGTCTCAACTTGTCAAGATAGAGACAAGGGGGAAGGGTGAAACAGTGGCAGACAAGGCGGCGTTGCGACAAGCTAGTTCCAGAAGTGGTCAATAATGATAAATAACCCCACATGGTTAGATGTCATCTTGTCTGATAACAATCAGCACTTCATCTTTTATTTACCCTCCTTACTAGATTGTCTATAACAAATTTTCTGGAAAAAAAGAATTAAAATCCATATTAATATTGGTTGAGTTTAAAATATAACGATTATCATGACGTTAAAGACGTGTGTTTGCGTGTTTATTCCACACATATATCATGCTACACCTTACTCCGTAGGTACTTGCAATATGGGTATAATACTAGGAAAGTAAAAAAGCACATTTTAGGATTTCTCAACACTACAAGTGACTATATCAATGACTCTACGACTATTGTACTCAGTCGCAGCTTCCCATTACTGCCTTATTAGGGTTCTTATGATCAAAATTGGATCCAGAAGTATATAGTTGGGAAATCCTATATTTATAGAATAACAAACAATAGTAGGTAGGTCAGAAGAAGGTGAAGTAGAAAGAAAGTGAGACAAAAGTAAGAGTAATCAGGAAAAGTCATTGTATCTAGAAGCCGCATTGTTTCATTTTGGAGAGAGTGATGCTTTGATTGTTGATTGTTGACAGCAACTGCATCCCAGTGAATGACTCCTTGTACCTGCCGGTCTGTATATTAAGGTTGCCGGCACATCCTGACGAGTACTTCTCCATACCCCATTTCTGTTGACCATTTCTCTTCAGCTATCATTTTTGACCAGGTTTCCTGTCTTTAACTTCTGAGCTATCTGGGAATTGCTTCTATCACATTGATACTCTTGTGATACTCCTACAGATGATGTCTTGCGCAGTCGTGTCAACTGAAGCGAAAGCGAGTCTCCCTGCTGATTCAAACCCATTAACTGCCACTGAAGAAAACGGAGACAAGTTGGCTGAGGTTGAATGGGTCGAACCAGAGAAAAAAAAGAAAAAAAAGAAGAAGAAGAAGCCCAAGAGCAAGCGTGGTTTGGTACGTTATCCCAATCCAATACCTGATTTCCCGTAGACTATCATCCTAAATGTCTGCAGAACAAGCCGACTGGGTTCGAGGAATACTACGTGGATGCTCCAATTACCCCAGAAGAATATGAAAAAGAAAAGGAGCTGTATGATGTGTGAGTTCAGAGGACCTGCGTGTTGAGTTGATACTAACGTGCTCATATATAGCTCGCGACCCATTATTCAGTTAGTCTCATGCCGACCTGTATACATCCATTTAATTCTAATATCGTTCTAGCCGGATAGAGGATGCCATATTACGCTATCAAAAAAGCCGTCGCTTGCTAAACGAGAGACATGCGGTGTTCATGAAATACTTGGCATACGGAGGGGTGAACACCTCCCAGAAGATGTTTCAGGGTGTGGAAGACCGTGACATGAAGGACATGGACGCCGAAGACATCCTTGTTGCTAGGGGCCAAGCCACTATCAATCATGATCATTCACGCCTTGAGATTGATTTTAATGCAGTGGTCAAGGGGTTCTTGTATGACAGCATAATGCAAAGTACTGATCATCAACGTGACTAACTGCCAACAGGACCTCGGTCTTTCCGTTCTTCTTCAACCCCCAATCTGAATCCGAAGTCAAGTTAGCCACGGATACGATCCGCAACTTCCTGTCTTACCTGCTTTACCACGACGTCTGTCCGGAACATAAGCAGAACATTGACGATGCCAGAGGATCATGCGATGTCGCGGCCAAAGAGATTTGGAAAAATACACAGTTCACGGCTCAAGGACCAGGACATTTCAACATCGCGGCTTCGACGCTCTTTGGTGGCTTCTTCTACGACAACTACGTTGAGGACAACCAGTGGGAAAACAAGAAGGGCGAATCAGTCTTCATGACCATTGAAGTGGCTAGCAAAGTCGTGAAGGTTGCGCTAGCCGGAGCTGCATCCTACATGCAGGTCAAGCGCTACGACGAACTAGCTAATGCCGAGGGTTTGGAGGCAGTATGCGTGGAAGATATTCACGGATTCGAAGTCACAAGGGTTCATCCGCCTAGTGCCCGAGTGCGAGAGTTCTACAAGGAGCACGCTCCCGACCTGTACCCCGTCGGTAAGATTTATGGAAAAGCCTACCGAGATCCAGGCAAACCGAAATATGACCTCGGGCCCGAAGAGAGTCTTGAATGGGAACAATGTAGTGCCCCCGAAGAAGAATTTGAGTTCTTCGTCGAAGAGCACTTACTTGAACACTGCTACCCCGGTATGAAGGTGATGACGACGGTGTGGGAGTTGAACTGTGGGTTTCATTTTTTCGATGAAGTTTTCTCGTCCTACTGCTCTATCTACACCGTGCTCGCAAACGACCTCATGATGGGATGGAAGAAGCCGAGAGATCTGACCGGGAAGGACGCGGATGACAGCAGCGACGAGGGAGTGGGCGATGAGGAATCCTAAAGCAAGGAGCCCTAGGACAAGAGTTGAAGACCCTGGAATGATTCCGTATGATCATCAAGGGAAGTTCAGGAACACATATTAATACGGGGTTGAATTGCCAATCCAATAGGTTACAAATTTGCATTGAATCATCATGATAAGCATACTGCCGTCGCTTACGGCCTGAGAAGTAGCTTCCCAGTAGTCTTTCGGCCTTCCAGGTCCAAATGAGCCTGAACCGCCTGCTCCAGAGGATAGACCTTGTGGATTTTGACCTTGAGCTCCCCAGACTGGAGCAGCCGGAACAGCTCATTGACGTAGAACTCGAACTCCTCGCGAGTATCGATGTAACCAAAAAGGGCTGGACGGGCGACCTTGACACATTTAGGGGTGAGTCTCCTGCGAAGAAAGTCAGCTCCGAACACCAGTATAACTCCAGATACCATAGAACTTACGCAAGAGGCAGAGGCGGCACCGGCCCACTAGCGTTTCCAAACCAAACAATAGTACCCTTCTTCTTAACAGCCTCAAGACTCCCCTCCCACGTATCCTTCCCAACAGAGTCATACACCACATCGACACCGCGCCCATTAGTGATCTCCTTAACCCTACCCACCCAATCCTTACCCTCCTCGCTGCGATAATCAATCACATAGTCAGCGCCCAGACTCTTTACAAGGGCGACCTTCTCGGCTCCCCCGGCCGTCCCAATAACCTTCGCCCCAAGAGTCTTTAAAATCTGCGTCATCAGGAAACCCGCACCGCCCGCCGCAGCATGCAGCAAGACCCAATCGCCCTTCTGCACAGCGTAAGTCTCCTTCGCCAGCGAAAGCACAGTCAGGCCGCTCAAAAACGACGCAATGACATCCTCGTCCTTGACACCCTCAGGGATCTTAACCGTCTTCTCAGCCGGAACAGCCGTGTACTCCGCGTAGCCACCGGTGCCCAACCAAGCAACACGATCGCCAGCCTTGAAGTTCCAGGTGTTCGGACCGGGGCCGACGGCAACGACTGTGCCGGCGCCTTCGCGGCCCAGGATCTCGGGCTTGGCAGACGGGTACAGACCCGTGCGGAAGTAGGTGTCAATGTAGTTAACGCCGGAGATGTTGTTCTTGACGAGTAGTTGGCCTTCCCCCGCGGTGGGGACGGGATGGGCCGTCTTGGTTTCGAGGACTTCGGGACCGCCTAGCTTTTCGACCACGATAGCCTTCATGGTGGACGGGGTGGACATTTTGCGGGTTTGGTGGGTGGGGATGGGGATAGTTGGGGAGGGGTGTATCCTTAGTTGGGTGCGGATTGCGGAGAGCCGGATGGCGGGGGATGATGTTGCTGCTGCTGTGCGGAGAAGGGAGGGAGCTGCGCGGTTGGAGAGCATTCGTGTGGGAGGGTAATAGGGAGTTTCAGTGATCCTCCGCGGTACTTGGGGTGTTCAGTTAGAGGGAGAAGGAAGTTGATTCCTTGTATTTATAGACTGGATAGAGGGCGGGGTTGAGAATGGCGTTCATTCCGTCCTTGATGGTGGATTTGTCATCGCGGTATAGTTGCGGAGTGGGATGGATGATCCACGATGCTCCCCGCTTCCTCTCTCTTCTACTACTGTGCTCTTCTACGGAGTACTACGGAGGATGATCACGTCTTTCTAGCTCATCTTCACATTCATTTCAAAAGGGATATGAAGATAGAAGGAGATAGTAAACTCATCACTACAAGCATAGCATGATCAAAATACATTCTCAATCCATCATGTACACTCGGCAATCTTTCCGAGTCTGTCGGAAATCCCCCGATTTACCTCCGACGGTGCATAGATGAGTCATCTGTGCATCATGTTGTGCAAGGCAACTGGTCAACATCGCGAAGTCTAGATTTCAACTTCTTGACTTCACCTCCACTCTCCTCCATCATCCCCGGCAACTCCAAGTTCTAGATTGTTCGCTGCCTCCAACTTACGACTAGGCAACAGTTAGGATGCATTCAACCCACTCTGCCAGCAGTCTACCCCACAACTTGAGCGGGCTTGTGCTGTACATGTTCGAGTCTAGACCGGGACAACTCAGCATCCAACCCCTTCTCTGCTCTGGTTGATCTGTTCTATGCTGGATATGCCCCACAGTATAACTAACGCAGTAATTGTATGATCCCAATGGATCACTCCCTACAGCTGGGCATACCCAATCGTCTGATCCTGGTCTGGATGACGTGAACCCTCCAAGCTTGGGGCTCTCAGCCTTGCCGCGCGACCCTATCGCAAACAATGATCCTGGAATGGCCCGGCGCGATGTGGCGCTTCCGTCAGCCCTGCGCATCCTTCTGTTTGTTTTCCTTTTGCGCATTTAGATCCGGGCTGCGTCCAAGACGGTGGCAATGCTGGTGGGGGGAAACCAGGTCAGCGTATTGGGCCCAGTGAGGGTGCGTCGAGGCTGCGATGCGGATTGCTGGTTACCAGACCTCCAGAGCCATGCAGCCATTGCCCACCCGTCAAAGATCATCCTGTTTCAATACTCATGTGCCTGTGTGTTGGCGCCTGGATGTCCATTCATTCCCAATGCTTACCATATGGCCGCGATCGTCGTGTTTCATGCGATCAGGCTTGATTCGTCCGCGTTCCCGCCCAACCTGGGGACGTTGGCCCTGATAGGGCCACCACAAGGATGGAGGCGCTGCCCGACCAGGCCTCCATTGGCATATATACTGCGCCCTCCTGCAGTCCTCCTTTTGTCCTTCATTTCTCTTCTGACTCAATCACAAGCCTCGGGTTTTATAAATATTTCCTTTCTTCTCTCTCCTATAGCCTGCTCGAGAACTCCTGGAGAATTCTCGTTGAATCATATCGATATTACACCACAATCAGAGCGCTAGACCCCTTCTCCCCTCCATCTGTATTGACCCTTCAACGCTCCCTGTGAGTTTGGACACGACTGTATACCATGCCAAAGGCAGCTTCGGATGTGACTCTGATGTTTTACCCTGCCACTGCAACAGGACTTCCGTGGCTAATCAAGGAACCGTAACCTCCAACCGGACCCGGCCCGCTGTACTCTACGCTTTCTTCATTTCATTTGTTTTCTTTTCGTTTCTTATCATTCATACGCTCCACATCATGCCATTCTGGCGCAAGCGGCCCCGATGGCCACCTTCACCGTCGGTGGAGGACGAAGTCGAATCCCTCTCCCGGGAATTATCCGGACTGTCCATGCTCGGAGAAAAGCCTGGAGTGGAGGGAGTCTGCGCCAGGGGCACAGTCGACCAATACCCCGTTCTATTGGAGGTGCCGTCCTTCGTCTCCATCACCCAATCATTTCCCTGGGAGGACTCTGGCCGATGCGGATCATCAGACGACAGTGCCGGGCCTCCTACTCCGCCCCTGGTTGCCAAGCAGGATCCGATCTTCAACGTCGCCGGGTCCACCGACATGCCTGGATATACGCTGGATTCTGTGCCCGTGTCGGCTCCGGTGAAGACTGGAAGCATGACTCCCCAGAACAGGTCACGGGAATCCTCGCGTGCCCGGCCCACTCCGAACCCTAAGCTCACTGCCGATTCCCAGGCGCCAGTCGCACGTCAGCAGCGCTCGAAATCCAAGGTGCGGAAGGAAGACATGGACGCACCGACAGCTCGCCGAGCAGAGTCCAGGACGCGAAAGGAAGATAGGGGAAGCGCATCGACAGCCCGCCGAGCAGAATCCCGCACAAGACGATCAACCACGTCAGCATCCCGCAGTGGTTCCCGTAACCCAGAGTATACCCGAGCAGAGTCTCGCACGAGTCTATCAACCACGCTAGCATCCAGCAGTGGCTCACTCAACCCAGAGGACACCCGAGCAGAGTCCCGGACAAGACTACGGACCACACCAGCATCCCGCAGCAGTTCACGTAACCCAGAGAATACCCGAGCAGAGTCCTGCACAAGACTACGGACCACGCCAGCATCCCGCAGTGCTTCACGTAACCTAGAGGATACCCGAGCAGAGTCCCGCACAAGACTACCAGCTACCCCAGCATCCAGCAGTGGCTCACTCAATCTGGAGGGCCCCCGATCCGAGTCCCGCAAAAGAGTACCAGCCACCCCAGCATCCAGCAGTGGCTCACTGAACCTAGAGGATACCCGATCAGAGTCCCGCACAAGACTACGGACCACACCAGCTTCCCGCAGCAGTTCACGTAAACCAGAGGATACTCGACTAGCGCCTGTCCAACCCGCCGTTCCTCGGCGATCGTCAAGCGTGAAGCATGAGAAGCCCCGGCGGCCGACCACGGCCAAACCCTCTACCACGTCTGGGTATCAATCTGACACGACCACGATGAAAGACCGGGAGGACAAACTGAGCCACAAGGACGAGTCTAGCCAGAAGGACAAGCCCATCCAGAAGGAGACGCCCATCCAGAAGGAGACGCCCATCCGTAAGGAGACGCCCATCCAGAAGGAGAAGCCCATCCAGATGGAGCAGCCCACCCAGAAATCTCCAAACCTCGAGAAACCATCCGGAGGGACATCCAACGTGCCCAGTCTAGCGCAAAGGCTTGAAGAGAAAATCCGGCGCCGACATGAGGAGCGCAACTCGCCCAAGCTACCGGAGGATATCCAGGTCGACCGTGACGCGGCCGCTAATCCATCGCCGGCTCCAGTGGCGCCAGCTCCAGTGGCGACAGCCCCAGTGGACAACCGCATCGAACGCAAAGCCGAGCCCGTCGATTACTGTTCCGATACGGGGGTCCGCCCAGCGGTTGCTAAGAAATCTCACCGTCTAAAGCCGGCACTGAAGACGTACAACAGCTCTTCAGGGTCATCCTCCGACAGAGAATCGCGCGCTTCGGTTATCTTTACCGACAATGACACCTCGCAAACGTCCCTGTCGTCGGACGAGGGGCCACCCAAGCGGCCCCCAACCAGGCGGACGGTGTCCTTCCTCGACGAGCCGTCCAAGCCTGCGCCCTCCCCCACCCAACAAGCCCTAGAAAGTGACCAGCAACGACCCCTGACTCGGCAGACCAGCTCGTCGCGCGAGAGCTCGCGTTCCCCGCCAGCAAACCACCCCGGAGGGTTCAGCCTCCTACCCTGTTCCAGATCCGTCCCCAAAGCCGGGTACCAAGACTGGTACACCATCAAGGGGCTGACGCACCTGAACATCTGTCCGGGGTGCACAACGCAGATGCGCAAGTCGCGATTCCGGGACCAATTCATGCTCGCCAACCCACGGCCACGGGGCGACAAAGTGCGCTGCTCGATGAGCCTCCCATGGGCACGCCTCGCCTGGACACAAACGCTCAAGAAGCAGCTCGACCACCTCGACATGCTCTACGACGTGACCTGGATCTCAGCCGGCACCAAACCCTGCACCGGACGAACCATCAGCGACCAGTACTGGTACCGCGTCATCGACCCGGACACAGGCGTCTTCCTCCCGAAGTTCAACGTCTGCTCGACCTGCATCCGCAACCTCCGCACCGTGATCCCCGCGCACCGCAGCACCTTCAAGCGAAGCAGCACGAAACAAGAACGCGTCTGCGACCTCGTCACCGACAGCCCGCGCTTCATCCGCTACATCGACCTCCTCGACATCTCGGCCACGCGCGCAGAGCAAGAACCCACCACGCCCGAGCTCGACCTCCTCGAATTCATGGCCTACGCGCGCCGCAAGGTCGTCATCCGCGACTGCCCGCGCGACCGCCCCGTCTTCAGCACCTGGCACTACATGCCGCAACTGCCCACCTTCACAGTCTGCGAAGACTGCTACGACGACGTCGTATGGCCACTGGTCCGCGCAAACCAGCCCCTCGCGCGGCGCTTCTCCGGCTCATCCCGACTGCTCCCAGGGAAAGCGGCCGCGCAGTGCTGCCGCGAGGCAAGCTGCCAGCTTTACTCGCCGCGGATCCGGGCGAAGTTCCAAGACGCGGTGGCGCGCGATGATCTGGAGTATTTGAGTTCGATTGCGGTGAGGCGGTTTGATGCTGAGCAGCGGTATCTGGAGCGGAGGGAGATGTTGCATGATAAGGAAAGTGTGGGGTATGATTGTGATGGGGAGTTGAGGGAGAATTTGGAGGAGTGGAAGAGGTGGGAGTGAATTATTGAAAGAGTCGCGGGCGATTCTTTCTTTTCTTTTGGATGTATAGTGCACTGTTGCTTTTGCTTTGATGTATCTGTATCACTGTATGCATGGGTTTATGCATGGATGGATGGATGGCACGACAGGTTTGCTTTATGTATGCGTGGAAGGATGGCACCTTAGGTTTTGTTCATGTATCACTTGTTTATGTACAGTTATTAGACATGACACCGGGATCAACATAGCAAAGGCGTCAAAAAAGAAACGAAGTTAAAGTACAAATGAAAAAAAGAATCTAAACACCATACTCAAACAACCCTCATAACTCATAACAATTAGCTCCCAGCTTCAAAGAAAGAAAAAAAAAAGGATAAAAAAAAATCAAACCACCCCCTCCAACCTCTCCCTCTCCCTCAACAACCCCGAAACAGTAACAACCTTATACCCCCTCCTCTTAAGCTCCGGCAAAAGCCTCCTCAACATGGGCGCCGTCCACTCCCTCCGATCATGACAAACAACAATACTCCCCGGCCTAACCTTCCCCAGAATATGCCTCGCATTCAACCACGGGAACTGCACCTGCGCATCATGCGGGTAGACACTGCCCAGCACGACCCGAAAACCCAGGACACGCACTAGCTTGCGCATTCGCTCAGAGAAGAACCCCGACCCGGGGCGGAAGTACCGCTTCGGCTGGTCTCTATCGAGGACCTCCTCTGAGAGGCCTGCGGCGCGGTAGGCGTCGAGTATGCGGTTGTTGACTGTGACGAGCTCGCGGGAGAGGACGTCGTTGGGGAGGGATTTGGACGGCTCGTCGTGCATGGCGTGGTTGGCTAGCTCGTGGCCTGCAGCGACGAGGTCGACGAGTGTGGATTCGCGCGTCGGAATCTGCGATCCGATGAGGAAGAACGTTGCGCTTGCATCGTTTTCGGCGAGGATGGAGGCGATTTCGGCGGTGTGGGGCGAGGGCGCGTCGTCTATTGTGAGGGCGATGACTTTGTTGTCGGTGTTTGGGGGGAGGGGCACGTGGAAGAGCACGTCTGGCCAGCGGTGTTGGAAGTAGCGGATTAGGAGGTGCGGGGGTTTGTAGATTATATAGACGGGGGTGAGGATGAGGAGGGTGAGGAGGAGGGGGAGGAGCATTGTGAGGCGGCGGCGGAGGATCCGGCGGCGGTAGCAACGGAAGAAGAGCATGCCTTTATTTATTCTCTATTTCTTTCCTTATGTGTTGACTTTGTTGTGTCGGTTTGGTAGATTGTGTCGGAGGTGTCACAGTCACAATCTGCGTCGGGGAACTACTGTCTGTCGCGTGCAACACTTTCGAAGATTGCGATAGACGAAGAAGCCAATCCAACAATTCAACAATTCAACCGCATATACGTATATGCGCTCTCCATCATACACCCCCCGAAAAGCAGAATATCAACAAGTAGCAGTACTACCCGGAGGGCCCACAAAGAAGCTCGGGGTGCCTTCTCTCCTGGTGCGGAGTTCTCTCTCGCGGGCGCGAATCCGCTGGCTGTACTGTCGTCTGGATTTCTTCCGACGGCGGGATTCGATCGACTCGGGGGATCTGCTGAAGAATTTGACGAGGGATTTGAACCAGGAGAGGGGTTGGTTCTTGGTTGTGGTAGTGGTGGTGGATGCGATGGCAGGCGAGGCAGTGGTGGTGGTAGTGGTGGTAGAGGAATTGCCGGGTTGGGTGGAGCGGAGTGGAGTAGCAGTAGCAGTAGTAGTGGTGTAGGGCGGAGGGTCCGACTCGGGTACCTGAGGCTGCATCGACCGTGCCTGTTCAGAGGAGGTGGGGGATGAGTCGACCATTTTTTTTTTGTTTTTCTTTATTTTTTGGATAGTGGTCTGAAACGAGTATAATGTACGCAGTGATAGAGATCAAGGAGAATTCTTGTTTTTGTGGTAAGATGACAGAGGAAGGTATTTAAAATAGGGCGGTGCTCAGACAGGTGTCAGCAATGAGATTATTGGCAGAGACAGCGGCACTATTTGCGAAATGCGATGCATCGTCTCAGCGAGAATGGGCTGCCTAAACGAGTCATGTGGTTTGCATCTACGAATTAGAGCGTACGTTGACTGCCGTAGCAGTCTATTCGACTCAGCCACTCCAAACACGACTAGCGCCCTTCGTTGAACTTAACAGATGCATTGTATAATTGTCCACCTAACGATATTGAGATCACCCAACCAACCCAACAACCTCCCCAGGCCAATGCTTCCCCCAAACGACAGCGCGCGGAGGCACGCGTCCTCCGATCGGAGCCAACACGCGGATCTTGCCCTTTTCGCCGTCCACATCCGCCACATACAAGAAGCCCATGATGCTAGAGTCGCGCACCTGAGCGACACTAGAAGTCGGCGACACGTGCGTGACGGCAAGCAGGGAGTTCGCGAGAGCCGTCGGCGCGGGGGGTAACACTTTCTTCAGGGGGACGCCACCATCGGAGGTAGCTGAATTCGCGGCGTCGCCCGACGAGCCGGTCACGCCGGGGAGAGGTGGTACGGAGCCCTCCTCTGGCTTGGGAGCCGGAGTCGTTTCTGCATCGCCCGGGAGGAAAGCGTCCAGTTGGGCCGGGTCGTACTCGTCTTCGTCCTCTTCGAGCGACGGGATGGTGTAGTTGTAGAGGCAGAGGGAGTTGAAATCGAGCTGTTGCGCGTGAGGGGATAGCGTGACGTTTGTAGTTGAGGAAGCGGAGAGGGAGAGCGCGGCGGACGCTGTGGACGGGATGGGATTCCCGAAGAAGTATGTTCGGATTTGAGACTCGCGCAGGCCGTTCATGAATGTCGCGTCGCGGTCGACGCAGCCGCCGGATTTGGGCAGCTTCACTACTGAGATGCACTCGTCTGAGGCGGCTGCTGAGGCGCTCGACGACGGCTTGTTGTCGTAGTTCTTCAACATGGTGCTGTAGAGGCGTTCCGAGCCGAGGACCAGGATCGTAGTGACTGTATCTCAGTAAGCATCATTCTTGACGAAAGAGTCCGCCTCAAAAACTCAGGGGGGAAAGCATACTGGAGAACTCCGTCACAATATGGTTAATCAACTCCAAACTCCCCGGCTTCCCCTGCCCCAACACCCCCGGCGTATCAACAATAATGCCCGTCTCCCGAGAATCCTCATCCTCCGCCATCCTCCCCATAACCGACAGTGCCAACCTCGACACAATAGGCCTAAACACCGACCCCTCCGCCTCCAGCGGATTCTGCATCGGATAAAAGTACACGAGCGGCAACTTCACAGGGACAGCACTCGGCCCCGACATAGGACTACTCCCCCACCCCTCCTCAACATCCATCATGGTACGGAACGCCGTAGCCGTAAGCGTCCCCGGCACACTCAACATGCCCTCATTCGGATCAAGATTCACCACAATCGGCTGCCGCCCGACCTTGGTCGCATACGCCGTCAGAATCTTACTCAAGCTGCTCTTGCCCGCATTATCAGGGCCGACGATGAGCACGCGCGGGCCGTCCTTCCCTGTGGCTTTGGCCTCCTGGCGCAGCGTTTCCAGCGCAAAATGCACATTCGCGTACTCCACCATGGGCGTCTCCTCAGCGACATACTCGCTCTGACAGCCTCCCGCGCCGAACCCGCGGCCGGTGGTGTTGGTGTTGGTTGCTGATGTCGTCGTGGGCGTCCCGTTCGCCGTCATCGCCGACCCGCCCGGCGCGAAGCCCTCAATCTCGGAGACTCTGTCCCCGGCGCTGACTTCCAGGGTGCAGCCATGCCAGGTGTAGATGGCGGCTTTTGTTCCGGAGAAGGTGTAGGTTTGGGAGGGGGCGAGCTCGGTGCCGAAGAGTTCTGCGTTGCCGGCGAGGAGCTATTCATGGGGACACGGTCGGTCAGTTTGTTTCATTCCTCCACCGTAGAATAGACCAGAAACAATCGACGCGAGAAGGGTATGTATGTCCGACTCACCTTCACTCGCACGGTCGTGCCGAATGCGACTTCAAATCTCCATTCGGAGCCTTTGCTCAGACTGATCTGCGTTGGCGGGGCGGGGACGAATTCCCTTTCCTCCGTTGCCTGCGTGAGGTCTAGACCTGGGAGAGACATTGATTGTCTATGGTCAAAATGGGAATTGAGGGCGAAGGTTGACAAGGTGAATCAGTCGTTTGTTCCAAGTCCTGACTGGGATCTTCGAAGGTGGATGACGGTGTTTTGCTTGTTTGCACTGCGGAAGTAATCCGGCCGTGCTTAGCTTGGCGCGATTCTTATCACGATATACTTGATATACACTTCTAGCTTGATGATCCCATGTCATCTACGACCAGCTCCTAATTTGAAGATTGACAGTAACTATCATAAGCAACCTAGCAATTCTGTATTTACTCCGTCCCACAATCCATCCGACACCGGATCAACAGATAATAGGCAATTGGATTATAAAAGTATACCAGGTATCCAGGAAAATAATAGGAAATGTCACACAGGAAAGGAGCACAAAGAAGCAATGAACGGCTCCGGACAACCTATCTCAACCTCCAATCCACCTACCAACCCCGAGACACCGACACCCGTTCCTACTCCGTTCTGTGCCGGCCAGAAAAGGGTGCATCGTCAATGATAATAAACAGCGATATGAGTCAATACGATACAGGAAGAATGAGGGGATCGAACGAAAAGTAATGGAAGTAGCAAAGGGCGGAGAGTGGCTGGAGTAAGGGCATGGGCATAATTCAGAACAATGGAGGTGTTGAGTAGGAATCATCGGCGACGGCTGACGCAGTAGATTGAGGTTGTCCTCCGTGGGAAGATCCAGTCAGCAGACGTATACCGTTGCCGAATTTTCATTTCGCATCTAGAAAAAGTAGGGGATCGAAGCACTGGTAGTCTGGTTAGCACGGTGCAGTCCACAACGGCAGGGAATACTCACGCAAAAGCAAAGGCCGCGGTGACTCCGACAAGCGCGCGATTCCTGACGCGTTCGCGCTTAAGCTTATCCTCCAACACCCTCGCCCGTTTGGTCCGTAAGGTTTTGGCTTCCTCGTCCTCCTCGTCGTCGCTCAAGTCTTCCGGCTTGCGCTTCTTCACAACCTTGTCCGCCTTGGCCGACGACGGTTCACCGGTGGCATTCTCTTCAGCATGGGCATCAACGACTTCTTGCACCATCTGCTTGGCCTCTGCGATCATCTTCTCGGTCTCGGCCGCCGACGGGGCTTCAGGGAGGGTGATGGGCATGTCGATGGCGACCGTCGTCTGAGTGGTGCGAACAGGGATCTCGCCATCGGCAGGGTTTTCCACTTCCACTCGGACACTCTCGGACGTCTTCTCACTTTCGTTTTGGTCTTCCGTGTCCACGGTATCCGGCTCGGCGCGAGTGGACTTGCTCTTCTTGGATTTCGACCGGGCCGACTTCTTGGGGCTCGCGGCCGTCTTCTCTTCCACATCCTCCACGCTGGGGAGAATGCCGTTCAGCGATTCGGAATCAGCAGTCGACGCGGTCATATCCAACGACGACTGAAGGTTGGCGTTGGCTTCACTCGTAGCCGCCGCACTGGCCTCCTTCATGGCCTTGGTCTGACGGGACTTCCGCGGCGATCCCATGTACTTGCTGGGCGAGGCAGAGCGACGGGTCCGGGAACGGGCCACGGAGAACTGTACGGGGGCATCAATGGGGGGGAGGTCGAACCGCGGCGGGGGCGTGATCAGCTTCTTCTGGCTCGACGGGCTCTGGACGATTTCGGCCGGATCCAGAAGCGCGCGGACCCAGTCGTACATCTTGTATTCCTTTGCAAGCTCCAGGGCTATTTCGAATTAGCATGACGACGTTCATGTAAAACACGAGCAGCATCCACGTACCGAGAATGGGTGAGATCCACACATTGCCGGCGACCTCGTCTTCGCTGGTTCCCTCCTTCGCTTTCAAGTATTCCCGTTCGGAGCGCTCTTCGTCCAACTTGGCCCACGGGAAGGCGATCTTGAACATTCCAGTCGCACTGACAAACCCATCCTTACTACGTCGCTGGAGGGAGATGTCCGTTAACCGTGATCCGGAAGCAGGCGGAAGCAGGCCACTCACCATCAGGAAATAAGTCTCCGGATGTTGCGCTGGCGCATGGGACGGGAAAATCTCCGAACCCTTGAGGTCTTTGGGTAACGGGGCGCGCAGATGGGCATATTCGAACGGACCCAGGTTTTCCGGTCTGGTCGCATTGGACGTGCCGATCTGGGTCGCTTTGACGGCGAGATTGGTCTTTCCCAGACGGCGGCGCATCAGAAGTTCTTCATCTATGATCCCCAGAGGAAGAGCTCGGTCAGAATGATGCAATATGAAAGGACGAAGGTGGTGGACACCCATGCGACAGGATGGAAAAAAAATGGCGAGCACTTACAGGCCGGGCCTCCATCCGTCTGGATGAGCGGATTGTTTTTCTTGGGCAGGGATCGCACCATGATGAAAGTCACCTCAGACAGAGATGGTTCGCTAGAAGGTGGAAGAGGGGCAGGAGAGATGGGGGGTGGACAGGAGAAAGTCCAGTCGAGTAAGATGCGGCGCCACGTTGCAGGCGCGTCTGGCCGCTCTGGTAACGTCGAGGGATAAGACGTCACCACAAATCGGTAGTGTGGGCGCACACCACAACAAAACGCGATGGGGCGAAGGAAGCTAATAAGAAGCACTAGGCAAGAGCACAGACAAACCGTGATCGACCGGGGGATAAAAAACTTTGAATTGGATTGAAAAGAAAACAACCCACGATTGCCAATGCGCGTTGTGTCTGATAAGTAAAAGTGAAGGAGAGGAAAATATGGAAAATAATAACAGAAACGGGGGACGGGAATTGGGAAATGGATGGGGGTGAATTGCTTGACTGCTGCTGTTACCATACGCGTACACTCATCATAGTCCAGGGTGTCACACTAAGCGATCCAGTGGCTTCAACTGGCCAATCATCGTACCCAACCAGCTCTCAACCGGGAAGTATCAGCGGTCGCGGGTTCATCCCCCGGTATTGAATGCGCCCAGCACTGGTAACAGACCTGTATTGAGGCCTGGTCATGGACACCTCAGAAACCTGGAAGCCAGGTCCGTTGTCCCCGTGACGAGCCGGGCAAATAAGATTTCCTGTTTGGGACAAGCGGCTCACCAGTTCTGTTGTATGTGCAGTATGGAGTCAAATTGGGTCAATTGAAAGTGGTTCAACCTTTGTAGAACTGGAGTTCATGCTAGGTTTGAGATGTCACTCCTGCAGTGGTGCAAGGCTCATGTGTGGTCCACATACGGCTACGGGAGCCCTTGCGTGTTACAGTCATGTTGATAATCTTGATCTATACTCACCATTCTATAATAAATAACCTTTCACTTTTGATCTTGAATCTATATTCTATAGTCAAAGTGATAGTCTACAACTACTACGTAGTAGTTAATCAGGAAAGCATACGATCATGACTAATCCATGATGGCGGTGAGTGCTTCCCCCACCAAATCCCTCATTAGCCTCCAGTTGGCTCAGGCTCACCCAAAACAAATAAGACAAACCAATCCATCCAGGCCATTGACTGAGGCATCCACCCCTCCATGGACCCCTGACGAATCAGGCCATCTCTGTCCTTTCCCTCTGTCTTTGTCTCTCTCATACTCTCCCCAACACTCCTATCTATCTTACCCCTCCCCTCATCTGCCAGCTCTATAGTAAGTCCTCTACTAAACAAATCATCCCACCACATCCCTCCCTCTTGTACCTTGAATTACTCTCTCATTTGTCGGTTATCTAATTGAACCCTTTCTAGTAAATCCAAATCATCATAATAATAACCAAACAGACATAACCAATCCCTACAACCAACCACACACCATGCCCGACCACCACGAGGACGATCTGGCGGCCAGCAGAACCGAGGGGTTCAAGGTCGGAGAGAAGAAGTCCCTGGCTGAGTATGCTGAGCTTGGTATGTATTTATTTATCTTATTTTATTTTATCCGACTTTCCATGCAGCAAGGAATGCATGGAATCCCGGGGTGGAGTGATGGAGATTGGAATTCGAGCTCCTTGTTTGCCCCCCCACCCCGGCTCATGCATGGTCATCTGGACCTGACAAACTTCCTGTCTCCATTCCTGACACTACAAATTAAATATTCATCACTTGCTTTTATATAACACTAACAATGACGTCCCTCCAGACAAGAACGACGACTCCCTCAATCGCTGGAAAGCCTCTCTGGGCCTCAACACCGGCGAACCCATCGGCGACCCCAACGATCCCAGAAAGTGCATCATCAAGTCCCTAGCCCTGGAGGTCGAGGGACGCCAGGATGTAGTCATCGACGTGTCCGCCCCAGGAGCCCTCGAGTCCCTCAAGGATAAGCCCTTCACGATCAAGGAGGGCGCCACCTTCCGCATCAAGGTCGTCTTCGCCGTACACCACGAGGTCCTGAGTGGTCTGAAATACCTGCAGGTGGTCAGGCGCAAAGGTGTCCGGGTCAGCAAGGACGAGGAGATGCTGGTGAGTTGATCTGATTGATGTAGGGGTGGTTGTTCGTCGTTAACCCACGTGTAGGGAAGCTTTGCCCCCAGCACCACCGGCAAGCCGACATACGAGAAGAAATGTGAGTCTCCCCTTTCGTGCTGCTCTCCCTAGAGAGGAAAAGACGAAGCCCAATGGTACTAACCCGGCCCAGTCAACCCCGAAGAAGCCCCCTCCGGCATGCTGGCCCGCGGCCACTACAACGCCGTGTCCAAGTTCCTCGACGACGACAACAACACCCACCTCCAGTTCGAATGGTCGTTCGACATTGCCAAAGATTGGAAATTTCAAATCTAAACCCAAACCTCGAATTTCTGTGCGGGATCGCGGTCGAAAGCCATGACGGCCGGTAATCGTATCATGAACAGCATGTTTGTTTTCGACATTTACAAGCGTTGGGCGAGTTTCACTGCTGAAGATTATTTTTTTCCTTTCATTTTATTTTCTTCTCCTTTTCACACTCCAATTTCCATAAACCTACCTAACCTACCCATACCACCTTATTGGTTGGTCCATATCTAGATCAATGATCGTAACCTTTAACCCGTGCGTCTAGAATCAAGAAACAATAAAATAAAATCACAATAACAACAAAAGACAGTAGAAAAAGGAATACAATCTATCTGATTGATGGCATCCGATTGAAACCTTCTCATCGCTGATATAATAGTAACAGTAACTCATGGAAATCTTGTCTTTTTCTTCGCGTCGTATCAACCACGCTGTCTATAAATGCTTTATGTACCAAACTCCAAGATTGCAGTGGGAAGATCGTATAAAGGGAAACAAGATAGAAAATGGAACAAGGTAGGATAGACATGGGAATAAATCATAAGAATAAATAAATCGGGTATCACAAAAAATAGTCAATCACAGGGCTCTGGCCGTCCTTGTTCTGCTGAGCCTGCTGCTCCGAGCGATGTGTATCGTTCTCAGGCGCCGCATCGAAGATATTGAAGAACCGTTCGCCGGAGTCGCTTACCTCGAGCACACTAGCGAGGTTCCCGCAGCGGTAGCAATAGTTGGGCGCACTCCAGACGGTACTGAGCCGATCATCATACAGCACCTGGTACCCCTCCTGACACAGCTGATGAGCGCGCAGAATATGCGACATGCTGTTCACCTCGAGGAACTTGCGGACGACCTGCGCGCCAAAGGTATACCCAGCGCCGCGGGGGGAGAGGGAGAACTCGTCGCGCTCGGTGTCCGGGTCGGACCAGACGAGGTCGGCCATGGGGCCCTCGTGGGGGATTTCGCGGAAGCGGTCGATGATCTTGATCTGGTCGATGGAGTGGATGGAGGGGGAGAGGCCGCCGTGGACGCAGAAGATCTGGTCGTTGATGACGACGCTGAGGGTCAGGAAGTCGAACATGTCCGTGAAGTAGTGCCATACGTTGGCGTTGCCGTATTTGCGCGCGCACTCCGTGTAGAACCCGTAGGACTGCGTCACGCCGCGGGATTCGTGGTTGCCGCGGATGAGGTGGACGCGTTGCGGGTATCGCAGCTTGAGGCAGACGAGGAGGGAGATGGTTTCGACGCTGAAGAGACCTCGATCTACGTAGTCGCCTGTTCGAAACACACCTCCATTAGCAAAACTGTCATGCAACGCATGTTGTAAAAAACATACCCAGAAATAAATAATTCGTATTCGGACAGAAACCCCCAATCTTGAAAATCTCAATCATGTCAAAGAACTGCCCGTGGATATCACCGACGACCGTCACGGGAGCCGCAATGTGGACGACATTGCTCTCCTTCATCAACAGTTCTTTCGCCTTGGCGCATATCGCCTCCACGACCGAGTCTGCCAGCAGCTCTTTTTTATACAACCGTTCGATGCACTCGTCCAGGTCGATACTCGCTGCCAAACCAATTAGATTCCTTGTTGAGTAGAAATCGCGCGGTCCTTATGCGGTTCGGAGAGATCAGGGAGCCGCGGGGGGGCGAGACTTACCCGGTAAGCCAGGCATTGCGGGCTCAGGGGACTCCTGGATCCAAGTTTATGAAGTGACTAATGAATATGTGAATAGGCCGAATATTCTCGAGAAACGGTGTTAAATAAGTTGTGTGTTGTGTTTTGAAATCACCGGGTGCTGTGAGATTAAGAAAATCGGTAGACGCGCGCGCTGAGCGAGGGAATCGGAAACACTTGGTGGTTGGGTTCGAGGGATCTAACTGTCTGCAAAGGTCCTGCAGCTGCTCGCATCATGACCGACAAAACCGGCAAGGGAGAGAGGGGGTCGACGCTGATCGAGGCCCGCGAGGCCTTATGAACGTATGTTGATTTTCTTTGGGAGAAAGAGGAGGAGAATCCGGGTAACTGATGGAGAAGTGGAAGAGGTTCGGAAATCACGAGGCGAGCTTAGCGGTGGAGGTACGGGGAATGGAGAATGCTGGGCAGAATCTCCAATTAAGCTCGGCGTTGTCTAGAAGCTCGGTCCTCTCTCGGACCTGACCTTTACATCAATAGTCGTTTGAATAATACTTTGGATTCTTGTATGTTTGTAAAAAAAAAAAAAAAAATTAGCTGTAGAATAGCATGGAGTATCCTCAATTGCTTTGATTCAAATGATGGCCATGTATTCAGGTTGATTATGCTACCCAAAACCACCCATACAGGACCACTATGGCACATCCTTCGAGCTCTGTGCATATCCACTACCCCGTTGTAGCAGCTGTGCGCCTTCTTCATTACCCTCAGAATCCGTCTCTTCCTCGGACTCTTCTTCCTCAGAGTCCGTCTCCTCTTCCTCCGATTCCGTCTCTTCCTCCGAGTCCGTCACTTCTTCCTCCGAGTCCGTTTCCTCTTCGGTCTCCGATTCATCTTCAAGCCACTCGTCAAGGGTTTTCTTGCCCCTCGACGCAGACGCCATCGCCTGTCCAGGTTCATGTCCAAGTCTTCGTTGTTGGTCGAGGGCAGCGACACTGCTTTGATGTTCTCGGAGCGCCCGGTCGAGTTTGTCCGCCGCGGTAGAAGGCATTTTCTCAGTTAACTCGGGTTTGGCTTCCTGTTCTCGAAGGTTCGGATCAGGTTCCTGGCCAGATTCAACCCAAGAAGGAAGATTCTCGTAGCCACGCAGCCCGTGGACTCCAGCGTCCGAGCCTATGATGAGCGTGGCCGAGCCGATGAGTAGATTCTTGCGCGTTTCAGACGGACTCGGCGTGTGAGGAACGGGCTTCGGCGCCAGTAGGAGCAGATTGGCAAGGTCGGTGGACGAAGGGTTGGAGAGGAGTGCCTTGTACATTCGAGCACGGTCGCGAAGGTCGTAGGAGGTGTCGTATCTCGTGAGAAGCAGAAGGTACTGCCACAGAAGTGTGATTCTATCCGGTTCGGGTTCGGCCGGCTGTTCCTCCACTTGGTTCTCTTGGTTCTCTGGGGACTTGTTCTCATCCTGATCGTCAGCCCACTCGTTCGTCGGGAGCGGTTCGACCTTCTCGCTCGGTGCAGGCTCTTCTTTCGGCTCTGGGGGCGGATTGCGCAAGAGATGATGCAGATACACTTTAGCGCCGAGGAGCACGATCTGCTGTTTCGCGGCCTCCGACTCATCCGCAAAGCCTTTGACTAGAATTCGTAGAACGTCAGGTGCGATATTCCGCTCCGGATCCACGCCAGCGAATTCGCCCACGAGCCACACAATGGTTGCCCGTGCATCGGGGTTATTCGTCGATCCCAGATGCTTCACCAACTCGATGACCGTTTGTTCGTGAGAAGCCGGATCTTGTTGGATAAGGTGCCTGATCACAGTCAAAGTCTCTGACACCAAGTTGTCGTCCAAGCTTGCTATCTGACCGAGGAGTAAATCCAAGCAGTAATCGGCGGTGTCCGGGTCGGTCTGTGCACAACGTCCTATTGCGCGGACACTCTCACGCACCAGCTCCGGATCGGTTCCTTGCGCAAAATGACGAAGCTCACTCAAGATTATACCTTTCAGATGCATACCACAATGCGGGAACAGGAGGGTAAGAACCTCGAGTTTGAGCCGCCAGATATGAGGCGGGTCGATGCTATGGACGAGAAAATGCGAGACGTATTTCGTAAATAGGTTCGGATAGCGCAGGGCAACGACAACGATGTTGCAGAGAGCAACATGCTGTATGTCCTGTGGGCTCCGCAGAAGAGCCACCAAAGGACCGACTGCTGCATCAAGATACTCGGGCGGCGCGAGATAGAGAAAAGCACGAACAACGCTGACAATGACAGCGGAGTTGCGGTTCTGCAAAAGGATTTTGCATGTTCGAAGGAAAAATTCCAGATCTGGGTCCAGAGCCGGTACTTCAAGTTCTTCTCCTCCTCCTTCTTCTTCACCACCGTCACGAGGGCTTTCATCGTCATCATAAAAGTCCTTCTTGGACACCGTCTGCTTAACCTTCTGAGTCCTCTGAGGAAAGCACTGTCGCGCGTAGGACGTCAAAAGCCGCAGCGTAGAGATCTGGCTCCATTCGTCCATATCCACCAACTTCCTGACCAAACTCCGATAGCACTTATGTATAAGGTCGATCCGATCCGGACAAATCTCCAAGAACGCAGCCACCGCGGGACCAGCGACAAAGTACTGATTATCACCCAAAAGCGTAGCCAGGTACCCAATCAGCTGCGGTAACGTACTCGGATCCAAGCGATAGCATTTAGGAATAGCCAATGCTGCGGTCTTGCGCACGTGTGGGCTCATATCAGCGCAACCGCGCTTGATCGCAAGAGACACGATCTGGCTGATGACCGGGACTCGAATCCCGGACATCGTACGCAGCGCCATCGCTCGGACCTGGGGGTTCGAATCCGTGAGCGACTTCTGGATCGCATTGATGGACAGCAGTGCGAGATCGGGCTCCGCTTCGGCGTAGTGGACCAGGTATATATAGACCAGTTTCTTGACTTCCAAGCTCGTGTTCGCGACATTTTTGACGACCGCGGAAAAGAAAGGCAGGGCAGATTCCGTGCCATACATCAACTGTTGATAAGGGAGAAACCCAACATCAGCACAGACCTCGGGAACAATTCGTGGCTGTCGACTCACCGAGATCACCCTTCGCATCCCATCGAGAACTTCCCGCTCATGGCGACTATCCAAAAGCTTCTTGATATGGGAAGCGCTCGTATTCCGCGACGAGGGAGCCCCCGTGACAGGTCCTTTACCGATAGCTGCCGACTGAGCAGCTTCGAGAGTGAGCTCCCGAGCTATTTGGATGATCGAGTCAGTCGGCCAGTTTCGCGGTGCTGAGCTCGGATTGTCAAGCTATCCACTTACCTGTTTCCAGCATCGAGGAGATTCTGGAGATAGTCTCCATTTTAGGCGCCCGAACCCTTGAATATAGCGAGCTGGCAGGTGGTGCTGAGAGGGGGAAAGGTCCGGAGGGTGCAATGGAGCGGATGTGGGGAGGGTCGAGAGTTCCGCGGTCGACGCCGGCACTGGCAGTTTAGCCCGTGCTTACCTTAGTGTGGGCCTCAGGAACAAGTCAGTCTGGACCTTCAGCCATGTTCTTACCTTTCAATCCTGCAATAATGGTCACGACAATTGAGGATTTTAATCAACTTGTCATATTTCGAAAGGAGCTATGGGCAATTTCTACGCCAGTTTCTAGCAATGCTCTGGCTCCTTAATTCGCTGGACTCAACCCATAGCATCAGCAACGATGGAGCCAACCCGCAAGATATATAACTGTGACTGGGCTACAGAATTCCTTCAATATACCCTCGACACCACTACAGGACCAGTATACCTGGTCATCTGCTCTACAAGAGACTCATTTCTTGTAAACCTAGCCCTCACCATCCAGACACAACCAAAACACACGTCCGATGGCCAAGAACTACTCAAAGACACCATCGGACTGCTCGCCAACTCAACCAGAGTCAAACTGACCTTCTGTCCCACTCTGGAACATCTACGCGCCTACGTCGGCGTACTACGCCCGACCAGTGACGACAATGCCCAACATGGCACAACCGCGGGGCAGAACAAACGACGACCCCTGGTGGCAATCTTGAACTGCCTAGCTTTACATCTACCCACGTCGGAGTTTTCGGCCCAAGGACTATCCAGGACGATGGCGGCTGCGGTGGAGGTGATCTCTCGGAATGGGATGGATCTTGTGCTCTGTGAATGTCGAGATGCTGCGAGCCCGGCGGATCCCATGCGTGGAGAGGCGCTGTGGTATGTGCAGGTTCCGTTACTTAACAGCGCGGTGCGTACGGGAGGTGACGATGCCGCTGGGGGTGGCCTAGTTGTGCCTGTCAAAAGAATTGCACAGCGGTGGTTTGAGTTAGGAGGGACGAGTCGCCCCGGAACAAATAGTTGAAGACTTTCATGCTATTGGTAGATTACCACAAAGCAAACGTAGCGACTAGCGACTCCAATAGTATAAACGACGTATACGAAAATAGATAAATGTACTAAGAAATGAACGTGAACCTCAACAAACCGGGTATCCTGTAGCCGACCCTGTAACGCCAGAACGATGACCGAGATAAGCCAATCCCGCGGCTCAGAGACATTTCTCCATATCCGTGATGTAAAGCTTGATGTGCGACTCCAGCTTGAGATATTCGTCGTGGGAGCTCTGGATCTCCTCCTCGATGTTTTCCTTGAGATCGACCATCTGGACGATTGTCAGCCAAACTCGCGAACCAGACGACTCTTACGGGTTTTACCTTTTTCTCGATCTGTTCGATCTTGATCCTCCGGACTTCCATATCGCGTTGTTTCTCTGCGCGCTCCTCCCGCAGCTGTTTTTGGACTTCCCTAAGCTCCTCCATCCGCGCCTGCGTGGCATCTGCCTTCTCCTTGGCATTCTTGCGCAAGGCTTCAATCCTTTCGCTCCACCGTGCGAGTTGTCGCTGGAGGAGCTTTTCCGTCTGCTCGACCTCGCGGACATTGTTTCCTCTTTCTGAGATCGCTTCCCTGTTCCTGGAAGCGCGAGATTCTTCGTCATCTTCCTTCTGTAACTCCACGGAGATATCCTCCAAAAGCTTGACGCAGGCCTGCACGTCGTTCCTCACCACGGTGAACGTATCCGTTGAAGTTTGAAGCGCCCGCGCCCTCTTCTCCATCGCGTCGATCTGAGCCTTTTCGCGCATCAAATTGTCGGAAAGGTCTGCCAGAGATGACTGAAGGGCGGCAGGACTTTGCATCGCGTACGGCCGTAGCTTTTCAACCTCGTGTCGGGTGCGTATGACTTTCTCCGTCTTCTCCTCAAGAGTCGTTTGCTGCTTGGCCTTCTCGACCTTGACCCGTTCGAGTGTCTCCGCTATCCGTTCTTGATCGGACTTCAACTCGCGCAGTCGGGCCTTCAGCTCGTTGTTTCTCTTGACCTTCTCCTGCACCTGGCCTTCATTCGCCCTCATATTGCGTCGCATCTCGTCCAGACGGAGCTCCATCTCTTGGTTCTCGGCGTACAACGTCTCAATGCGGGACTTGGTCTTTTCAGACTTGTTGAAGTGCTCGTCGATCACGGCCGTTTGGGACTCGCGGAACCGGACAAAGTTGATCAGATAGGAGAATATTTTGACTAGTCGATCGTGGGTGGGCTTGGTCAGGTCTGTGAACGTAAAATCATTGACACCACACTATTCGTGCGACCGATATGTGTTAGCAGTTGCATAGTCAATCTCGCGCCGAGCTCACTTACCTCCATCATCAGCCTCTTCAAGCTCACAAAGAAACCCATGAGATTGCGGGTATCGGTAGGCACAATGTCAGGATAATCGCCGCCAATATCGTCTGCAGCCGCTCGCATCGCAGGCTCTACCGTATCACGCGTAACATTCATCAGGAGCTCTCCGAACCATTCCATCACCATCTGGATCTGCTGCGGATTTGGTTTGATCAGATCGGCCGAAGTGAACGGTATACCGATATCGTTGATACATCCTGCAATTTCCTTATCAGGCTACGCGTGGGGTTAGCGACACCGTCCTCACATGCAATCGGGGCAAGAGGACGAACCAGGCGCATCATGGCATCGTTTTCATCTTCCTTCTTGCGGCCCCGGTGCTGCTGCTGCTGCTGGGTGCCGCGGAACTGCTGGCTCATCCGATTGTTATACGACATTTCGTCATACAGTCGATACAGTAGCGAGTCTGGGATTTCACTGAGAAAGAAAAGAGGAAGGCACTTCGCGAGCACGAGCTGACCGCAGACTCCGCTGTTGTTGTTATGGTTGTTTACCGCAACGGCTTTGACATGGCAACCAGAAGCGGATTAGCGCCGGGGAGGGGCACGGCAGACAAACTATGCAAACAAGGTTGCCCGCCTGTTTTCGATGACTCTTCCGCCGCATGGAAAGATGATCGGTGCATGAAATCTACGACAACCAGCACTGAGCTCCAAATCATTGTTTAACAGGTCTCACACTGTCATTATACACTATGGCAGGAACTTCCGAAGCTGAGAAGCCGTTTGAGTGAGATTCCTCCCCATTTCACACCTCGCCTGGTCACAGCTAACATTCACCCAGCATTGTCGCGACGTACAATGATTTGCTTCGCACAGATCCGGACCTGACAATGCCAATTGCGGCTATTGAGTCTCTGGTCTTATTACTCACACATTCACCGTCCTCCACGATCTCCGAGACCCTCGATCTGCTTGAAAAATCCACCGCACACCTGAAGAAGTCGATCTCGAACCCCATCGGTCTGTCCGCCGGAACCGATCTCTTCCAACGGTACCTGATCACGACACTCCAAAGGCCCGGCCAGCTGGGACCCGCCGGAGATTTCAACGCAATCAGAGCGCACCTCCTGTCAAACGGCCGTCTGTTCGTGCGACGTGCAAAGGAAAGCCGGGACAAGATCGCCGCGTTCGGACGAGGCTTCGTCCGAGACGGCAGCACGATCCTGACGAATGGCGGGTCGCGAGTAGTTGCGTCGTTGCTGCACAAGGCAGCCGCCGAAAAGGGCGGACTCTCCGCAGTCCGTTTCCGCGTGATCTACGTTCTGTCGTCAGCGAAAGGAGACGTCGAGAACCCGTCTGCGGAGCCAGAGGGCATGGAAACTGTGCGTATGCTGCGTGAGAGCGGCGTCCCGGTGGCTACGATCCCACCGTCCGCCGTTGCATACTCTATCGGGAAGGCGGATACGGTGATCGTGGGTGCGGAGGGCGTCGTCGAGAACGGAGGCATCGTGTCGCGGATGGGGACCTACCAACTCGGCTTGCTTGCCAAAGCCATGGGGAAGCCTTTCTACGTCGTGGCTGAGAGTCACAAATTCGTCCGTGTGTACCCGCTGGGGCAATACGATCTGCCCATTGAGCAGCGCGTGATTGAGTTCAGGACCCAGGAAGATATCGCAGAGGCGGAGAAGCAACGGCTGGACGCTAAATCGTCCGATGTGCCTGCTAAACCGAGCTCGGAGTACGATTGCGAGGTGGTGGACTACACGCCACCGCACCTGATATCCGCACTGATCACGGACAGTGGCGTCCTCACGCCAAGCGCAGTCAGTGAGGAGTTGATCAAGATCTGGTTCTAGTTGGTTCATTTGGCAAGAGAGAGACAAAATCGACGGCATGTTTGAAGTTATAGTGGATACGGCGTTTAAGCTCACTGAGATATCCCGCAATAAAGGCGTTTTCGGCTTAGAAAAAGCATGTTTTATATCAGAGCAACAATTCTTTCTTCGGTGCTCTTTTAAACTGCACCCACAATTGTGAAGTCCAGCTCTGGGCCGTCGGCCAAGATAGCAGGATCACGCATCACCCATGCACAGGCGGCTGCAAATCACGTGTACACTTTCTGGCCCATCGGGGGAGCCGACTCTATTAATGAAGAAAAAAAAAGCCAAATGGATCAAGTTGGTTTAGTAGAGACAAAACTCATGCCTGATCTGTGGACAGCTTAAACTATGGAATGAAGCTCGAAGCAACATCAGCCTCAGCATTCCGAGCAACCCCAGAAACCACCCAATACCAAGAGACATAATCCAGCAGCAATATCACAATTGATACTTTTGCGCGCCATATCCAAAATAACCATTGCATCCTGCTTGTATCCTTATTCCACCATCATGATAAGTCCGTAGTTCACATTTTCATCACCACCATAGCATAATACAAACATGTAAAACAACTCCCCCAAAGCCGTAAAGTCGTAATCATATCCCATAACGAGAATTCCCTCTCAAACCGCTCGGAGCCCTCTTTCAGATCATCACAGAGGAAAAGGCATGCATCCCGTGCAGTGCACTCTGCTGATCAACAGACAGACAAAGAGGGGTATCTCCCCCCCTCTCTGTTCCTACCCCAGCCCAACAGCCCTAGAGTACCTCCAATTCGAACGTAATGAGCAGGGACAAAACGACGGTAACACCAAGCAAAGCGCAATCATCAGTAGCGGATTGCGATCGACGCGATCCAACTCAACCAAAACGAGACACCTGCGCAACCAGTACAGCAGCATTGCAGACGAGAAAATTCGAACCGACCATCCACCGTTTCGTCTTGAACATCGTTCGCTCAGTTCAACCGGCCGGGTAGGGTACCTAGGGGGGAGTAGATCGATCGTCCTACAGGGATGTATCGTGACACATAGTCCCCAAACCCCAAGCCCCAAACCCCAGGCAACAGCCCCAGCCCCCCAGCCCCAGTCCCAGCCATCCCGCTCAGTTCGCAATGCGTCCCATAAGGGTATGAAGATTCTGCAAGTCGAGCGCGTGAAGCGAGGCGAAGGCGTAAAGGAGGAGGTAGCCAAAGGCGACGAAGAGCCACAGCGCAGCCATAGTTTCAAGGGTCAAAGCGTCGATTGCGAACACGACCGAGGTCGGTAAATGAAACGGATGGGTGGGTTTCGAAGGCGACTTGGGTAGTAAATAACGTCTGTCTGTCTGTCTGTCTGCTTGATGCGGGCAGTCGTTCATGCAGCGTTCCGCAGGGGAGAAGAGGAGGGTAGGTTCAAGTAAATGATTCAGCTTGTGTTTTTGATTTTCCACTTGACATGTGTCTTGACAGATGGGGTGGGATGGAGGAGAGAACAAGGCTCTTCCATGAGTTTGACCTCAGGGCAGGCTGTCGAATCCAGTTGAAAAATCTGGGGAAACGGCCTCTTTTGTTCGTGAGAGAAATTCTTTTCTCTTATTACCCTTTAAATCCCTGTCAATCGGAAATGGATGGGATGAAAAGGCGGGGTTGCCATTAGTCTTCTGGGCAGTTCTCCTGCAATCGGAGTCCGCTGGTCGTTTAGCCCAAACATGCAGGCGAGGTAGTAATACATCCACTAATCACAGCCCTAACACACCCTTCGAACTGGATGTTGCTCCATAAAGATGCAGGAGTATCGGTGGGAGGCAAAAGAGCGGTAGGGAAGTTTTTCGTGCACTAGGGCTTATAGAATTAGTGTTCTTTCCGAATGATCTGCAACCTCTTCCCCAGTTTTGACGCTTGCCTTGACTCGGGGGTGAAAGTGTATCTTCTATCCTTGTCTTGGCTGCCGGACGAAGAAGTAGGAGGAATTATCTGGCTTATTTGGGTGTATCTACGATCCTGCTACCTAGTAGTAGTTTGGTATACAGCTTGCGTCCGAGTCCGACTCTGGTGAAGTCATGTTGTTTCTTATCAGATCCGGAGAATGCGGTGAAAAGCCCACCAGAATCAGCTGGCGCGTCGAATGATATCCATCTGATTCAGGATGATCATTACGCCAACCCTACCTCTAGCTTGGACCATTGTCATCTTCTCCATTGCATCTGTCCGACTTCCACGTAATCTGGCCCCAGGGCTAAACGCAACACTGCCACCGATGTTTTCACAAGCTCACTGGGTTGTAGCATTTGATAGACTCTAATTACATCATTGAATTAGAAAATCCCTCTATATATCAGACAAGAACAATAGTAATCTATGGAGAGGACACCGTCATATGGTAAATCAGTTTCTATTATTATTCTAGAATTCACAATCCAAACATCACGCGACTCCACCAAAACCAGTGGATCTCGCAAGTCCTCTCAGACTTTCACAGGATCTCACCAGGACCCATCCACAACGGCTACCATAACTCTGATTGGATTGTCTTTTTTCCAATCTCCGCCGCCCCTCAACAGACCCAACCTTTGCCGCGTCGTCAAGGATAATAGTATGGATGATGATGAGTGCTTGGAATTTGGAACGACGTCGGGAGGAGTAGGGCGGAGGACTCGGAACCAAATATTGACACAGTCCTCTCTCTCCTATTGAATGATTCTACCTGATACTTCACTTTCGTTCAGTACTAACCCCGCCTTGTATTGATCCTCGCTGCTGTTGCCTTGGAACATACTTCTGTCTGAAAGAACTGGGCCTCTTTGTTACAACTTACAAGACCCTGGACGTATGTCGAATGCCATTCCCGGGTTGTAAATATCTCTGGACGTTCCCGAGAACCCCTCCATCTATCCATCCATTCATCCATTCATCCACCATTCCATCCCCCATCCATCGTGTTCGATCCACCACTAGCGTACTGGAACAAGTCCTGAAACAACTCCCCTCCCCTCCAACCCCCTAGGCGCATACGAAATCCTCCCCGAACATAAACAGAAAGAAATAGAAAAGAAAGAAAGAAAGAAAGCAACAAAGAGGATGGGCGCGGAGTCTCTAACGACCGCCCTCAACCCTCGGCCCAACGAGCACTACTACCCCGAAACCCACCAAAAGCACCCAGCATGCGGGTCGCCTTTCCGCCGGATGACAACAACAACACGACGACCACCACCAACACCACCAACAGACGATGAGAGCAAGAATAAACCCACTAGCGGCGAAACCTGGTCCATCAAGAGACTCCTGGGTCGACACGTCTCCCGTCGGTATCGAGTTCTAGAACGAGAGCCGAACCGTCTCCGAAAGCGGTTCACCCAATAGACTGCCCCTCTCTTTTTCTCTCCCTTCTCCTCCCGTCACGATATTGATTAATCGATTAATCGACTAATCAATCAATCAATCATGGAGCCCGATGATATGATTCCATGATCCTTGTATTCGCAGCGACCCGTGTTTCTGGTTTCATCTATTTGTTTATTTTCATTTATCGGTTTCCTCTTCGAGGAACACCCCCGGGAACCCTGGGCGGGAGAAATTTAAGATTATCCACTGTATGGCTGGCCACGTGTGGATGTTCCCGGGGATTCCATATATTGCGAGACAGGGGGTAGCATCGGTTGATAGGTGTCTGACCTAGGTATCGTCTCGTTTCTTCATGTACAGAGTCTGGGGATATGTTGGTTTGTTTTTATGGTTTACGCCTCGTTATGTTTGTTGTATGTTGGGTTGGAGACTCGGATTGTTTCAAGTGGTATTGCACGCAACTACTTCAAGTATCTGCAAGCTAGAATCACAACACGATATCTATATAGAGCACCATATGAGAGGGGCACCGCTCCCGTCTATCAAGGACAGAATTAAGGGCGGCGAAGTACCCAGGTAACCAGGCACCTAAACATGGCTTGCAGAAAGAAGAAGACATTCTAATGAAAACAAGACAGCCAGCAACATCTAAAGCAGTGAAACACCACATCAGTGGTGTGGCTTTATACAAACCGAAATGCCTTAGCTTCCCTTAGTTAGAACTGCCAACAAACCCAACGTGGTACCTTACAACCCCTTCACTGGCCGACAGGCGCATACATAAACAACTCTAATGCAGTGGCACCTGCACGTTCGAGACAAATTCTGTCATAATAATACGAACTAGATACACCATTTAGGAAGTAAACGAGCCAACAACGAGTCCATTATCATATCGATCCTGGCTTTACTCTCCGTATTGAATCCTGGATTTGTGGAACATGGAGTCGCCCGTTAAGATCTTTAAAATAAACCTTGTTGTGAGTATGTCGCGTGACAGCCGAGGTCAGACTCAGCACAGGTGTTACGACCACAGGTAGGTACCAACGTCGGATTCTGCTGTATATTGTGCGAGAACACTGTACAGTGCACTCCGTGCTTTGTACATGGTGCTCCGTACATATACGAAGGTCGCAATTAGATAGGATGGCATAATCTGCGAAGGTAGATAAATACAACTACTCCATAGTATTAATTTATCCATGATGTAATTCTTGCAGGTATATTCAAGACGCAGAAATACAACTAATTACCTCATTATCCCGTGCGATACTTTGTATAGTGTATATCTAGATAATTTCCCCAATTAAATAGAAGAAAAACACGGCAAGGTAAAGCGTGGGAAAGAAGATAAAATGACGGGACCCACAATAAGTGACGGGAAATTGCAATCGCCGTTAATAGAGGGTGATTCGGCATAGTGCGCACTAATTTACTTGCAGTTAATAAACCTAGTAGAATCTGGGTCCCATCAACAATCACTGTTGACCATAGTTATCTGCCGGCAAGGTGTCATGCATTGGCGGGTCTAGCCTTTAAACATTGAATTCTCCTAAATGAACACGAGGAGTAGTTATCCTTGATCGGCTTTATTTCAAGCTTCGGGTATTAAGTATAATATAAGATAATTTATATAAATAATGAATGAATAAATAACACTACCTATCAAATCACACTGACATATACTCCCCGAGTGAAGTAATTTATTGGCACCCATGTAAGGCGTCACACCATAGTTGTTTGCCCCTGCTAGCTGATAGCCAATGTCTCAGTGTTTCATTATGAGACCCCCGGCTAGATTCAGATCTGGCCGGGTCTTTAAATAAATTAGATGCAGGAACAAGAAGATCAACCAATCTAATAATCCGTACTCGGGCTGTTGCCGGCTCGTGTTTACATTTATCTGGTTAGGACCTTTATGGATGAATACGAGGGGGGATATTGAGCAGAGCAGACGACTGGTTGGGCTGTAACAAATAACAATGCATTGAAGTGACAGACAACTGGGATGTAACGGGCGCTAATATCATAGGAGCTATGGCGATTACTTAATGTATAGTCGGGCGAGATATGAATTCGTCAGGGAATACATGGTCCATGCTACGGCCTACTCCTACTACGGAGTACCTACCATATAGGCGACCTACCTAGGACTATCCTCTCCTCCACACAGACAGTGGAGGATACTCCAGACACCAATGACAGTGACACTCAATCCTTGCCGCAAGAAGAATGTCGCGAATGACCCAAGATCTGCACACAAACTCGAATATGGAAGGTGGAGGGACCAACTGCTCATGGACCAGCGTGTAGGTACTCACGGCGTATGGACTGTACCTATCACGTACGTAAAGATCATCATCTCCCCTCTTCGCCCCGGTGATGTTTTCTTCACACAACAGACTTCCCCTCTTTGTCACCTGCAAGGATCCAAAGGCCAATGCGTACGTAGCCAACGGCGACCGTCGACGGGACTTTATTTCCGGCCCGGCTCGCTGGCCGAGGCCCCTTGCACTGGTCGCTGGAGAGATGGTTAATACTGTCCGACCAGGCCAGTGTATGGGAGTTTGTTATACTCAATACTAATAGTAATACTGTAAAGCAACCCCTCTCCCCGAGTAAAGAAAAGAAGTACCCACTTTCTGCGCGTGCGAATAGTACTACTGGACACCCAGTCACCCACATATTAACAGAGGGGCCAAGATTCCACTTTTCGCGAGTGGACCACGAAATGATCGACCGACCGACAGGCGCCGGCGAAACCTGTGTTACAGTTGGAACCTAGAACTCTAAACCAGCCTAGTAACCAGTTACGATGGTGTTATATTCCCCTCAAACAGGTTGTTGAGAGTTGACTGGCAAGGAAGGGGTTTGGTTGTTACCGCGGTAGCGCCAGAGTCTGTTATAAATTTATATAAACATGATTGTACATTAGACTAGACAGTAGGTATAGTAACATCCGAAACAACATCTTATAAGCAAGGTTGGACCATCCACGCACCAGTCAATACCTGTCATAGCAAACGAGGGGGCGGGCCCACGTTATAGATAGGTTCTACTTCTACCATTTTTTTGCTTGGAGTCATGTCGGTTGTTTAAGCGCCAATAGTTAGGTATACTAGATTGGCGTAGCTCTATGCAGATTATAAACGGTAGGCAATGATAATCACGATTGGCATGATAATCAACACTCCTGGAACCCGTCAGGATCAAACCGGGCCACTGGCAGGGTCCATACTGCCTCTCTTCGAGGGAAGCCCCCGATTTCCAGGCCGTTGGAACTATCTTTCCCCCTGGGGGGTTGGCCCTGCGCTGCGGGCATTGTCTGGCACTTGCCTGAGGTAATGTGGCTCTAGCCAAGCGAACTATATATCGAATTATCTGATATCTAACTGCTTAGTGCCACTGTCTCCTGTCTAGTGCCGGGCACGTATGTGGTTTAACCTACTGTGCTAGTACCGCAGCGTTCCCCTTGACGCATTTGCTTGGTCATGAACTAGTTCGTGGTCTGTGAGAGGACCAATGGGCTTTTGTGGAATTGCAAGGTGGTTGCCCAGTAGAACCTAGTAGGGCAATGACAAGCGGGTTGGACTCAACATGACCCAGGTGGTCACTTGCCTCCTTTCTTGCGGAGGAGTTCCCGCTGCGTAGAGAAGCTAGTTTGGGGTGGCGTGGTGTGGTTTGATCGTTTGGGGCTTGCCGTAACATGTAAAATACATATTAAAAGGTCACAACCATTGAGCTATGGGAGAGCACAGCGACTAAGATATATATGCACCAACTCTATCGAGTTTCTTCCAGATATGGTAACCATAATCACACCTACCTCCATACCGAATAGAGTCTGACAGTAGTTCACGTTGATGTTCTGACCGGCTTCCTGCCGGTGAACTCATTGAGAGGAAGGTTAGTGGTAGCTACTATTGACAGCCAATACCACTAGGGAGGTACGACGATGTAGCCGTGTAATTTCCATCATCCCTACCGCGATGTAGGGGTATCCGGTATCTGGTACCTGTAAACGCAGTGGTATCCGTATTTTATCATTCACTAACAGCGGGACGTTAGGCTGCTTCTAAAGATGGAGTCGGTGGAGCACGACTCCTCAGTCCTCAGGCACCCAGGTACCAGATGATGCCTCGTTCGGAGGAGGATTTCATCTATTCGGGTTTCAACCTGATCATCCTGGGGACCCCCCCACCGTGTAGAATTTTCACGATCTGCCATTTCTCATCCTTTCTCGTTTCGACACTTTTCTCTCTGTAAAGAAAGGGGGACGGGTGATTTTCACAAGGACTGTCTTAGGTCAGTGGGTTCGAAGGGAGGTGGAGAGAGTGAGCAGCTGCAGGTATTTATAATGCTCGGTCTTATTTGATATGTTCGAGCCTTGGGGAAAAAAGAAAGCAAAAAGAAAGCAAAAAAAAAAAAAGAAAAAGCAAGAAAGGAAGAAGAACCCGGAGAGATATCGGGGCGATGCATGAAAAATATGTGCCTTCCTTCATCACCTGCCAACCTGGGCACTTTCATACCCTCGGGGCTGACCTGTAATAATGGGTTGACTTGGACTAGTGAGGTCGATCAGCCAGAAGAAATTGATTGAACAAAGAACAATCGGCGTCAATCCAGCCAAATCAGGTGTACAAATCAGGTGTCGAAAGAAAGATCGAGATAAAAATAAAAAGGACTGAAGAAAAAACAAGATTGATATCTATCCAAAGCCAAGAAGGGAATGAATATGATTGTTGATGCTTAATATTCTCTAGTACACTGGATATCTGCTATTAATACCATATTATTCAATACGATCCAGTGTCCACCGGTCCAGTGCTTTTCTGTCTGTGACGGCCGGCCCCGGAGTGAGCCAGTGTAACCAACCGACCTGCTCCCCTGGTTAGGCAGGGACCAAAGAAGAACAAATAAATAATAAAGATGAACGCTAAATTATATATAAATAATCAGTGATAATTAATATTTCCAAAATAAAATACACTAATAATAATAATAATCATAATCATAATCATAATAAAAGATTTGTTTGTCTCGGCCCTCTGGAAGTTCCAGTCCCTCACTCGACTGGAAACTTGACTCCTTTGGGCTGGGTGTCTCTCTTCTTCTGACCTACCTGGAGGCGACTCTAAATCTCTTCTTTTCCCTTTCTTCTCTTGTCTCCCCTCTCTCTCCCTCTCCCTCCCTCTCTCTCTCTCCTTCTCTTCTCCTTCTTTTCCTCTCGTTTTTCTCCTTCTTCCCTTTTCTTTCCCACCCTGACCTCCACTCCCCCCACCCCTTGATATCAAACCATCGTGATATTGGTGAGGATTTTCTTGTTCGGCCACTCCCATGTGGCGGGAGCTTGGAGTCTCACCCCAAATCTTATTGTATTGACCGAGCTACCACGGAACTGATCGAGACTATTACACCTCCAAACCAGTTCGCCCTAACTCGATAGTTTACTTTACTCCTGAGGTCCATTCATCCATCACCTGGGGCTCCCTTTTTCCCTTTCTTTTACTTGATCTTCGTCTTTCTTTTTTCCCTTTCCTTTTTTATTCTTTTTATTTTTTATTTTTATCTTTTTTTATTTTTTTTTTAAACCCTTCTTGAGTCTCTCTACTACCATTCCTCCCTCCCTCCCTCAATCGCCTTTTCGTAACGGCGGCTGTCTCAGATCGCCTCCCCGTGACGAGTAAAATCCGCTCGAGTAGTCGTCCAATTTTTCTCGTCCCTTGATTCCGATCTTTGAAACTCGGGTTCGGTCTGGCTCGCGGATCTTTTGCACTGCACTATTCTCCATGATTCTCGTCATCCACTCCCCACGCGCACCCTACATCGATAGCGTACACACTTGACAGGTCCCATCCCAGAGGAAAGGGTATATGAACTGGTGACCATGGCGATATGGCCATTTGGTCGCAAGAATAAGCGGCACACCATCCAGGTCGACGCCCCTGCAGCGGGTGAGTCCGCTGCGCCGCAGGAACCTCGCTTGAGCCTCGATGGCCGGAAACCGTCTCGCAAGAACTCCAAACGTCAAAAGAACCGCCACTTCCAACCCGTCGAGGATTGTCCCACCCCCCTCCACGATGCTCTGCCTCCTCCCCGTTCAGTCACATCCCCGCCCCTTACCTCGAATAGCGAGCAGCTGCACCGGAAGGAGCCATATGCGAAACCGGCCTCGCACATCGGTCATATCTCGGACGGTTATACGTCACGTTCGACTGTCAACCATGACCAATTCCAGGAGGCGAGGAAATCCTCGGTACGAAGATCGAAGCGGGGCGATGGCAGTCCAGCCGTGTTGAAGAAACGACTGAGCAAGCGGAAGGCGTATGAAATCGCCCGGGAGCGGGAAATCCGGTTGATGGCTTCCACGCCCATCGATATCCCTCGCCGCTCCACGCTACCCGGCGAGGACTTCTCCATGGAGACTCCCCGGGGACGACTGTATAACCACCGCTCCGATCGCGAACTCTCCGAGACTAACCTCTCGATTCGCGACTCGACGGCCTCGTCATTGTCCGAGTTCTCCGAGTCGTATAAGTTCAAGGTCAATGGTTTCTCGGCCTGGACCCCGCGTCCGGTCATCCGCTACGTGGAAGCTCCCCGAATCCAAACGGCGAGGAGCCAAAAGACAATAGATTCGGGTCGGAAGGAGAAGATGCCGGTGGTTTCTGCCTCGGAGGAAAATCTCTATACGAAGAAAAGAATCAACAGGCTGGCGGATGGTCTCGACGCAGGTGCCCTGAGGGAACTCCTGGAACGGGATCGCCGTCGGACCGAGAGGCAGAAGATTGAGGACCAGGATAAACTTCATCGCAAGTTACAACGCGCGGCGGATCGACAGAGAGCGGAAGCAGATCTCAATGGTAACCACACCATATCGGAAGTGCCTCGAGGCCAGGTGCACATTCAAAGCCTCGACGCGGCCGACGAGACCGGCCAAGACGCCTCGAAAGAAAACAAGAATCAAGCAACGGGCACTCGGGGTCCATCCGAATCATGGCTACACGATTCCAAGGACCAACCGCGGAGTCGGTACGAGTCCATGGAGAGCGTCCATGTTATCGGAAACATTGACGACAGCTCCATCCGGGAGCCCAAACTGGGCCTGCGACGGAGCTTTGCCCCGTCTCAAGACATGGGGATGTCTCGAAGTACCCTGTCTCCCTCACATTCGCCGTCCCGACGTGGATTCCACAGCCCAACTCCTTCGCAAGTATATGGAATCGGGCGGGAGTCTACATCCGACGTCTCGAGGACGGTCGACTCGGAGCGACGCCTATCCGACAACGGTAGTGGCCGTATCAACACCATCTCCTCCATCTTCCGCCGTGGTAGTTCCCGCCTCAAGCGGAGATACCGGGAGCGTTTCCAAGACCGCAGCCCGGAACCTTCGAACGCGTCTCACGAGTCCTTCTTCAAAGTTCCCACCCCAACTTCCGCACCGCCCCAGCCCATTCCCGCCAAACCTTACATGCGCACCGGCACCATCAAGCGCTCACAGTCCAAATTCACAGAACATCTGGGCGATGAGCCGCTTTCCCCGCCCGACTCCCGTATCCAATCCCCCGATATCCCAGAGGAGCCCGCGGGTTTTTCTGAGCCTGGGAATGGGAGACCCGATTTCGCCGCTAGAAGCCAGTACCCTATCCTGGGATCGGAATCCGATCTTCAGGATGCGAGCAAGGACCGTCACCGTTCTTGGGCGGGTGAGATCTTGGAGGACGACATGGATAACGACAACGTGCCGTTGTCGCAGTCCTTGGCGTCGATCGATTCGGAAGGGTCTTGGATGTCTGGGCAATTCCTTCGTCGTATCTCGCAGAGGAAGAGCAACCAAGCTCGTGCTAGCGTGAACTCCTCGCGAAACGTGCTGGTTGAGGGAATGCCGACCGGAGATGCAGTCTCTGGCAAGGAAAACATCGACCGATCCGACTCACGCCAGGAGGTGTCGAGCCCTCGGCCGAATGCTGCGGGCGCGCCAGAACCGGATTTCGAAATGATTCACCCGGCGGAGGCGGAGGAAGCGGAAGAGACCTGGCACGACCATATCGCCAAGCGACCGATCCTCGTGAACCCCATGGTTCGCCCCAAATCGAACTCGGGGATGCTCAAGGACGTGCAGTCCTTATCTCCCATCACTACCAACGAGGAGTTCAGTCCGATCGAAGAGCATTCGGCTGAGATTTTCGAAGCGACCCCCGAGGAGAACGAGCCGGGCCTGGCTCGTTGAGAGCAACCACCTGGCATCATTATTCTTACGTTGAATTTTGTTGACATGAGGTGAAGGTCTCGTTTCGACCCTTTTTCATTCTGACCCAAACCCTTTACCTTAAAATGTTTAATACCCTCGTCTCGTATATACCCCAGTCACTCTTTTGACACTGAGCCTCTCTTTTGTACTTTCCATTTTCCATCTTTCTTTGCATCTTTTCTTTTCTTCTCTTTTCTTTTCCTTTTTTCCTTTCTCCTTGATTCCCATACCCTAACTACCCCCTATTTTTACCCTTTTCTGTCCATTTTATCTCACCCCTTACCCCCCTTTTCCCCGTGGGTTCCGATTTATCCCTGTTATTTCTCAGTGGCACTAGATGTTGCCACGATGATTGATACTTTCGGGCACCCGAGAACCGTTTGTCATTAGTGGTCCCAGCCTGGTTTGATAGGCTTTGTTCTTGTATTTGTTGATACCCCACATCAGTGAAAATTCGGATGATTTTGCTTCGATCTTAAAAAATGACTGTTCGGTTTAAGTCCCTTATGGGTTCCGGTTTGATTCGAGTATAGACCTGAAGCATCTTGTTGCCATTCGATGCATATATTGACCTGAATCGATGTCTGTTTAATGGACTAATATTGTTTAATTCTGGTATCTGTGGCTATCGTGTTTGAGCTGGTTGGATTTTGGCGGAGATATTGTGTTCGATGCCTCGTTTTTAGGGACTCGTACATCACTACTGCAGCCCATACCACTCCCTGCCTCGGGCAATGAGTTCGCTAGAGATGGCCTCATGTGTAAATAGAATTGGAATCAACTATTCAACTATAGAACATCTTCATTGATCAGGAACATAGTTCGCGAAACCCAAAGGGAGTTATATAAGCTGGTTCGATCCCAAAGGTACATAATATGACTGCCTCAGGTACCCACCAGTCTAGACCCGATCGGATTGATAAGCGGCAAGGGAGCACGCCATATACTGCCGCTGCGACCGACAAGTCCCGACAGCGCTAGAAGCGTCTTCACCCCATCACACATCCTCAGCCAGTCAAGTCATTCCTCTTGCTTTCATACCTACCTACTTCTTAGAGATCAAAAGAAAGAAAGATGAACCCAATCCTTACAAACCAAGCCACCCAACTCCTGCGCCGCTCCGGTGCCCATTGGTAAGCCACTACCCTACCCCTTCAAGGAACGCATCCATCCCTTCCACCCGCGGCGCGAACTCTCGGTGAACCTGTACGGCTGAGTCAGCCACCTGAACTGCCGGGACCGCAAAACGTCATTCAATCTGCAAAATTCCCCCCCTGTGTGCCACTGTGCCCCTCCCGCCCATTTGCCCCTCATTCGGAGCTAACCGTAGCCATCATTATTCAGTACCAGCTTTAAAACATCGGCCGCTGCCTCTCTCCGTCTTTCTTCCTCCCTCTCTTCATCTACAGCCAGAACATCTACATTCCAAAACTCCCTCCGCCGCTTTCCGGTTCAGTCGCGCGCAGCAACAGGCAGACAGGCTTTTTCGAGCACTTCCACAGTTTTATTTTCATCTACATCCGCAGTCATGGGTGGTCGTGTTGAGCTCATCGAGAAGTACGTCCCCTCCCTACCTATCCATCCCTCCACACTATATGGATAAGCCCCTCTGGCATTAACCACATACTAACCACAATCGCCCAACAGGAAGGAGGACTTCGTCTCCAAGGTCCAGCAATCCCAGGGTGTCGTCATCGTCGACGCCTATGCCGACTGGTGCGGCCCCTGCAAGGCCATCGCGCCCAAGGTCGACTCCCTCAGCGAGCAGTACCCCGACGCCAAGTTCTACAAGATCGACGTCGACCAGCTCACCGACGTCGCTGCCGAGCTCGGCATCCGCGCCATGCCCACTTTCCTGATCTTCAAGAACGGCGAGCAGGTCGGTGAGGTTGTCGGTGCCAACCCGCCTGCGCTGGAGGCTGGCATCAAGGAGCATCTTTAGATTTTGTGTTTAAGTAACGTTGGGGAGTGATTGTGTTGTATATTCGGTGGGAGAATCAATTCATATTCGGATATTTATCTACACATGGGCTGGGGTGGCTTTCTTTTGTTGTTGGGATTGTAGGGGCATGCCATCGTAGTAGTCCCGGATTCGCCATTCTCACTTTAAGAATCATATCGTAGTGAATGAATGACCAGTCATAGATGCCGTGATATTCATATCCATCAGTTACACTGAGGTCAGACTGGCTGTTTTCATCATTAAAACAGCAGGAGCATGCCATTGCAGTGGTCTTCGAATCAGCATCTTTACCCTATACATGATATTATTATTGAGATCCACCGCGACAGATACCACGATATTCATCCATTCATGCCAAACTCGCACTCCAAGATCAGGCCGGCCTTGATCATCAAAGCCGCAGGAGTACAAACTATGCCACAGTGGTCTTTCGAACAGACATCCATCCCTCCTCTAGGAAGGGATATCTTAGTCGATCGTGATAGATAGTATGACCAAAGATAAAACTGATGCACTTCTCCAACGATCCTTTATGTACGTTCCTATACTATACAAACTTGATTATCTCTAGCTACTGGTATTTCCCACTTCTGGATGCCACACTACTTTCTATGTTAGAGCAATCAGGGCTAACTCAGGACACGAAGAGATTCTAGGGTCTTGACAGATATCTTCAAGGTAGAACAATTTCCGAATACCTTGAGATTCTCCTAAATTTTGATGAGAAGAGTAGTAAGAAAGTTGATTGATGCTATCATGACAAAACAGCTGTATATAGCCAACTTACAACTCTACAGCAGAACAGTAAGAGATGACTCCCAGTTACGCTCATATTGTAGCCAACAAAGATATAAATTTTCGCTCTCGACGGGGAATTTCATAACTATTACATGTATTGGTGGGTTTGGTTCTAAAACAATGCCTAGGATGTCAAGAAGAGGTGCGAAGCCACTCGTTCACCATCTCATCAAAGTCAGGCTTATACAACCACCCCAGCTCAAACGGCTTATCATCACCCTCAGCATCCTCCTGACCAGCCGGCCTAGGCATCCGGCGCTTATCAATCTGCGCGTTCAGCGCCAGCACCTTGTCCACCCGTTCCTGGCGTCCCCGCTGCCAGATCTTCAGCGCCTGCTCAACAAAGTCCCTATCGCATTTAGCCACAATCAGCGCATAAGTGTACACGTCCTCAAACGCCTGATTGATCCCCTGTCCCGCCGAAGGCGGGATCGCATGCGCCGCATCACCCAAGATCACCACGCGGCCGCGGGCCGAGCTCCACGAATCCAGCTTGGGCACAACGTAGAACGGCCACAGGTTGATCGTGTCCGGCGAGATCTCCGACACAGCGCGCTGCACGACCTCTGGGAAGTCAGCGGCGCCCTGGCGCAAAAAGTCCACACACCACTCCTTATCGCCCATCAGCCGCTTCCAGCCCTCCTGGTCCAGCTCGGGCGCCCGCTTCTGCCGACCGATCAGCACCTCGGAGCCGTCGCGCTGCTGCGGCGCAATGACGAACGCCCCGTGCTGCTTGTTCATGATCGTCACGGGCAGGTCGTAGCCGCCCGCCGCCGACACCTGCAGCTGCGCCGTGGGCACCGCGGCCGTCACGCCCATGGCGTTGGTGAATTTCGGCTCCAGCTCCGGGTACAGGTACTTGCGGACCCTGGAGTGGATCCCGTCTGCGCCGACGAGACAGGCCGCGGAGGCGGTGGTGCCGTCCTCGAACTCCCAGGTGACATGGGCGTCTGTCTCGGACACGACGCGGACAAACTTCCTGTGGTAGTGGACGGGGATGCCGGCCTCGCCGACCATGGCGGAGAGCTCGCGGATGAGCACGTGGCGGTAGATGCGCATGCCGCGGTATCCGTACTCGGCCTCGCCGCCGAAGGCGTACTCGTCCAGGGGCTGGTCAGCCGGCGAGCGGAAGTAGAGCTTGTCGAAGGCGTAGCCCTCGGCGCGGATGCGGTCGTACACGCCGAGGTGGTCGAGGATGCGCAGCGCGTTGGGGGAGAGCATGATGGCTCCGCCGATGTTGAGCGGGGCGGAGCGGGCTTCGTAGATGGTGCATGGGATGGAGTGCTGGTGGAGGGCGAGGGCGAGGGTCAGACCCGAGAGACCGGCTCCGATGATGGCGATGTTCTCGACGGGGGCGGGCTTGGATTTTTTGAAGGGGCAGTGGGCGGATAGGGTTGTTTGGATGCTTGAGAGGAGTGACATTGTGATTATGATTATGATTGTGATGGTGGGTGTGTTTGATTGTGATGGTGATGGTGATGGTGATGGTGATGATGGGCTGGATCATGACGAGGCTCTGGACCAGTACTTTATATACTGTGTGTCCCTGTCTCGGACCGGGTATGGCCTCGGACACGCCTCGGACGGTCTCATTCGTACGATATCTCCATCGTTAGTATCTCCCATCATCTGTCTTTGTCTGGATGCATTTCCGCAGTTGAGCTGGGGCCGGAGTCCGGATCCGAGAGGTCCGGATCCGAGGGCATCTCCGGCATAGTCCGTCTGGCAGAGACAGCGACGATGAGATAAGCTTGATAACAAGTCGTTGATCACAGGAAGCTTGATCGAATATGCCTGATTATACTGTACCTAAATTTATAATATATATTGTTGGAATATCAGTCAGGATAGCCCTATACCAAAAGGCGGTTAACGTTTTGGCGTAGTGGTATTGAGATATACAGCACAGAGTTCGTCAATGTTCAAACTGTGGATTATATGGTGTATTGATATGCAATAGTATCTCTCATTATCTATCTATATACATGTAGTTGATCCTGTCAGATACATAAACCTGCCAACTCCAAAAATGACTCTTTACACCTGTGGATGGTAGACACCACGGTGTGCCATATCAATCCCAGTCGGAGGATGAACAACGTTATAAGTATCCCGCGAGAGATCCATCGTCAAATATAAACGGATCACCCTGGAAATTATTAAACTCGGTAGCCAAAGCGGACGAATCGGCGAAAAAATCGGGTAATTGAGGCTGAGGCTGAGAAGTGGGTGGGAATTGTTGCGGGTCGGTGAATGGAAGCATGGGCTGCATAGATTGAAGCTGTGTACGTGAGGTTAACAAGGAAACAAACCGAATGTGTTGAGGAGACTTTGAGACTTGGACATACCATCTGCGCAAAGTCGTTGAGGTTCAGTGCAAGCGACTGGTCGGTCGTCGAGAGGAGTAGATGCTGCCGACAGGCAGACAGAGCCTTCATTGCCCCCTGCTGCATCCACTGTTCTTTCATCTGGCCGGATCCGCGAGCGCGCGCTGACTGCAGGACCACGGCGAGAAGCAACACGTCTTTGAGGTTGCTGCCGGCTTCGCCGATTCGGCGGGTCAGCCCGTCGAGCGTGTTTTCGACGATCCGAGTCAGGCTGGCTTTGGTGTGGGTTGCAGCCCGGGGGGTGGGAAAGGAACCTGGCTGGGGGTGAGGGGGCGGAGTCAAGGCGGTCGACTGTTGTGTGGATAGCTTCATGTAACCACAGACGCTCAATGCCGCCCACAGAATATCCTTTTTGCAGCAGAGTTGGAAGACGTCCCAGTAAGAGGTCGACTGGAAAACATCCAGATCAGCCACGCTCGGGTCAAAGTAGTCTTGGTAGGATAAGACGACCAGGGACGATTCCAGGCATGATTGCTGGATTTCAGAGAACGCTCGATCGTCACGGCTCTCGCCCATGACGATGGGTCGGTAGAGACAGAGGAGGGGTCTGCGGGTGTAGACGTCCAGGAGCACGCGGTTCAACAGCATCATGGGACTATCGCCGCTCTTTGGGGCTTGGTCGAGTTTCAAGGGCGACGGTACCCGTTGTAGACACTCTTCTAACCGTCGTCCTTGCCTGACAATCTCGCTCAGATCCATCCTCGAACTGACGGTCCGGACCAGCATCATTGCCCTGATGCGATGGGGCAGGGACATGGCTAATGTGATCTGGGCGAGGGAGTCGGTCCACTCATGCAAGCTTCTAGAAGGCGGAAGCTCAACCGCCGACTCGTCAAAGTCAGTATCGTTAAGATTGGTGGGAACAAGAGGGCCAAAATCAATTTCGGGAATCGTGACCGGCATGCCAGATGCGATCGACGCCTGGAGGTCCATCTCAACGACTGTGACCCATAGTCGACGCCGTTGCTCGATCTGAAAAGCCGATAATTCCGCAAATCTGGTGGGATCCAAGTGCAGACCCATGACCATCGCAGAGCGGACCAGAGCCCCCGTGTCCCTCCAGAGTTCTTCGGGTGTCACCAGGCGTAGACGACGGGCGAGTGCAATGAGCGCCTCAACCTGCAGCGTTGCAATTTCTGTCCGTTCCTTGCGGCTGAGTTTCCGCAGCCACAGTCGGACAAAGTTCACTGCAGGCATGTGCAAATATTCCCATGACAGAGGATGTTCGGTTTTGAAGCTCTGGTCTTCCAACGGTAGCGCAACTGCCAACACAGCCGTCAGCTGCGGGAGAAAGCCACTGGATCGATAGATTTCGTTATCGGGGTCGGCCCAAAACTCCTTGTACTGGCGCATAAAAGTAGGAACATGGAGAATCCTCAGAACTTTTTCAAAGGTGAACGTGTACAACTCCACCAATCGATCACACACTTCCTTTGAAGGGAGACAAGTGCGAAGCTGCTGCAGCTCTGGTGAGCTTTCCAGATCAAACATTGACTCCGGCGAACCCAGCGACAACTTAGATTTACTTTGGAGAAACTGCACTTCCTTGGCCAATCCGACCACGGTGGAATCTTTGGTACACTGGTCGATGAACTCTTTTGCTTCGGAGAACTGCGACATGTCAGTCAAGCAAGCAGGGGAGAGAGGCAAGACCGACTTACCTGGTTTAAAAGAGAGATTCTGTTATTCTGGCCGTGGTATCTTGTTCGAGTACCTTTGACAACGACCGTTCCCAGGAATGGCGGCGGGCTCGCCGGTTGGGTGATGCCGCCCGATTGCGGGCTACTGCATACGGTTAACACTGTGCATTTGGAGGGATGGTGAAGACGAGGCCGAGGTGATATACCTAGCGCCTCGAATCGAGCCAGCTCTCGACGAACCCAGATTCGCAGGTGTTTTGACAGAAAGAAGATCCTCCAACTTGGCCAGCCGGAGCTGGAGATCCTCTATGAGGCCAACTCCCGCGTTCCGCCCCGACTCCCCTCGAGGGTCCGAATGCTGGTCGACGGCCTCCGAGCCGAGATTCACCCGCTTAGCCTTGGGCAGGGCATCTATACTCGCCGGGCTCTGGTTGTTGTACATGCAGTCGGACGGACAGCCCGACTTGGTGCAGTTCTGACACGGCATGCTTCTATCGCACTTGAGCTTCTTCTCTCGACAGCGCAGGCACGACACGACCGGCCGTGGGCGCTTACGGGGTTGGGACGCGTCCATGAGGTCTACGGGGGAGACGTAGCTGGCATGCTCATCAAGAACCATCGCGCTGGTTCACCGTTCTGTTCCGACAGGGGATGCAAAGCTGAGCTGCCGGGACCAGCCATGGGGATGTTGCTTGTTTTTGTCGGGCAGACTCCTACGGGAGCATGCAGGGGCCCCACAGACGTGCACAGATATAAATAAAGGTACAGCCTGGTGAACCTTTCCTGTTTGGGACTAATACTCAAGATGACTTAGCTTAGCTTAGCTTAGCTCAGCACAGGAGAATTTCCGCGCTTCAGATGAGGCTTACAGTCGGCCGTGGGTTCAAGAGATAGTTTCCCGAAGCTCAGACTAGCGTCACATTCGGTGCGTTTCAATATTAAATCAGGGCGGGTAGGAAGTTGAATCAACTTGTTGCGGGTTTGATCTGGTTCAGTGGGGGTTTGACCCCTAAACATTGGGGATCTACAACCTAACCCGCACCCTAACCAGCACACTTTGGGGATCTGAGTGGGTTCGGTGGATCAGAATCCGCACCAAATAACACCGAATCCGTTCCTACCTGGCTCCGCACCGAACGCACCGAATGCCACTCTAGAGGTCAGAAAACTCAGCTTAGTAGATCTGAAACGGTCATACTCACTGAGCTGTGTCTCGGAGCCCCATTTAGTCATTCCCGATGAGCTGTAGTTAAGCCCCACGGGTAGCGTGGTCATGGTCGAACAATTGGCATGAAGGATCAATAATCTCAATGCTATTGAATGTGAGACACTATCTGTCTAGTGGATATAGTGATAAGATACTACGAAACACAGAACAAAAAAAAAAAACAAAACAAAAAGCAAACCCAGCCAAGTAGAATCAAATCTAAAACATCCGCAACTCCGCCTCGCCTCCAATCCAATCGTCGTCTAGTTGGTGATCACCGGGGAGGTGTTATCCCATTGAGTGGTCTCTGCTGCATCGACGAGCCAGCGCGCGACACTGACGCGGCTCGTGCTGGCCATCAGTCCCACGCCCTTGCCGTTGTTAGGCCAAACCTTGACGTTGGTTTCATCCGTCTCGACCAGACGCGAGGGGCGGACCATGACAAAGTTCACGCCGCTCTCGCGCACCTCGCGGTCGGTGTGGTTGTGGTCCTCGTACTGGAGGATCATGTTGGACTTGCTCATCAGCAGACGCAGCACGCAGTGCATGTTGTCCCAGGACTTGCCGACACCAAAGGCCTGCAGGATGACCGTCTTGCGGACGCCGAACTCCTGCATCGCCTTGACGACGTTGGCATTGCAGTCTGCCATGAGGCGCGGCGGGGAGATGGGGGCCGCAAAGGGGCTGTCGGTGGCGCGGGGAGCATTCAGAGTGACGATCACGACCTCGGGGATATCAGCCCGGAATGCGGCTCGCACATCGTCGAGTTTGGTGGGAGTGCCTTGAGAATTAGTTAGAATTGTCAAGACTCAAGATCGCCCGCATAGTTTCAGAACTGCGTAGCTTAGTTTACTTACCTTGGACGAGCTTCAGGCCGGGTTGGGCATCACCCATGGACGTAGTTTTCCTGACCAAAGTCGTGACATGGTGTCCTGGCAGGATTAGCGACCATTGAGAAGATGAAGATGGAATAGGAAGCCAAACCCACCTCGGCTGAGGAGCTCTTCAATGACGAGCTTGCCGCATCGGCCAGAACCGCCAATAACCAGAACACGCATTTTGAATTGGGATGATGGAATTGTAGAGTTGTAGAGTTGTAGAGTTGTAGAGTTGTAGAGTTGTAGAGTTGTAGATTTGTAAATTGGTTTGATTTGTAAATTGGTTTGATTTGTAAATTGGTTTGATTTGTAGATTGGTTTGATTTTGTTGATAGATAGATTGCGATGATAATTAGAACAAGAATCAGAATACGAAGCCAAAGATATTGAATATTTATATACAACTGTTGCTGGAGACTCTCCTTTGGCGGACTCCGGATCCGAGCCGGAGATGGAGTCATCTCCGGGTCCGATCTCCAGTTCATGGAGATGACGGATGTACATCCCCCGCCTATCAGTCTGTCGATCACCGGAATCTTAGTCTCTTCTGGTAACTTTGAATTATATCATTATTAGTGTAGTGTCACGACCTGGCTCGCTCGTCTTGCTTTGCTGTACTAAGAGTAATTGTGGATTGATGACTACAAGACATAGTCCAATGTAAGAAACACGCCTAAGTTCAAGGAGGAGGCCATACAAACAAGAAGGATTAGCCAAGGAGAGAAAGGGAAAGAGAGCAAACAATTAAAAAAAATAAATAAAAATATATATATATATATATATCTATAATTGGAGGCGATGTACCGAAAGGGATCGTCAACGAGGGCCAACAGGTACATAGCCTGAGCGCTCGCGTTACGGTCATGTCCACTTAGGAATTTCATACTAGTCAGCCGTCGTGGTGATGATCATGTTTCAAATGTGTATACAGTTCATAGATATGTCGTACGCACTCGATGAAATTTGGCACCATTTTGTCATTGCAGTCCAGCATTCTGTTATTTGGACTTCCTGTCTCCTTGGCTAACTTGGAAATGATTAAGGTATTGGAAGAGCAACTATAGATGTGATATTGTGCCTATATAATCCTACTTAGGCCAAGAAATATACTTCTTCGCAAATATATTCAACCGACACGTAACTCCCTCTTTTATATCCATCCTATCCTTCTATCCCCTATCCTCTATCCTCTATCCTCTATCCCCGTTTCACACAGCTCACCTGCATATCCGGATGATTAATCCAGATCTCCGCATTCCGGCCCCACGCCTCCATCGCCTCCGGCTTGGCCATTCCCAGGTCATAATTCTCCACCAAATGCACGAGAATCTCGCGGATGACATTACTAGCCACAAACTTGCCCATGCACTGCCGCGGACCAAAGCCAAACCGCCAAAAGTGGTACCGCGCCTGCGTCGGGCTGCGCGCCAGGAACCGCTCAGGCCGGTACTCGTAGCGGTTGTCCCCCCAGTAAGGATTGCGGATGTTGAGCGCGTACGAGTCGACGACGAAGTTGGTCCCCGCGGGGAAGTGGTACCCGCCGACGGAGCGGGCGGTCGGGATGGCCTGGGGCACGGAGAAGGCTGCCAGCGGACGGAGCCGGGCGGCTTCTTCGACGCAGGCGGCTAGGAGGGTCGAGTTGGAGAGGATGTAGGCGTCGAGGTCGCCGGCGACGGAGGAGGAGCGGGCGTCGGCGATTTCCTGGCGCAGCTGGGCGGCCGTGGCGCGGTGGGCGGCGAGGAAGACGACGTTCCAGCTGACGCCGCCGATGGTGACGTCCAGGTTGGCGTAGAGCATCTCGTCGAGGGTGTGTAGGAGCTCCGCGGTGGAGAGCTCGCCGGCGTCTCGGGCGGCGAAGAAGTGGACGATGGGGGCGTCGTGGAGGCCCTGTTTGACTGCGCTGCTGAGGGCCCGTTCGTTGAAGGCGAGCCATTTCTTCTGGAAGGCGGCCAGCTCGCGGTTGGCCTGGGTGGGAAGATACTGCGACCAGGCGAAGCGGGTGAGACCGCCTTTCATGACGTATTTCATGAGGTTCTCGCGCTGGGGAGCCAGACTGCGCAGCTCCTGTTCAATCTCGGGGGCCAGCCGGCCGTAGACGATCTCGGCCACGACGAGGAATGGGAGCAGCTTGAGGTCATCGGCGGGATCGAGGAGGCCCCGGGAGAGATCACGCGTGTCCCAGAGTTCCTGGAAGAAGGACTGGGTGCGGCGGCGGATGAGGGGGATGTACGCGGTGGAGGTGCTGCGGTGGAAGGGCTTCTCCATGATCGCACGGACACGAGTCCATTGGTCCTGGCTGACGAGACCAACGCACTGGCCCAGGAGTTGGCCGAGAAAGTATCCAGAGTTGTTGTTTTTGGCCTTGAGGTGCTTGTGCGAATCTTTGAAGACGGCTTGGATGTGTTCGGGGCGGGTGAGGACACTGTCCTGTTAGTATAGCACTCCTGAAAAGGAAAGGGGACAGAATGTACACTTCGGGATTCATGCCAGACCACAGACGGTAAATGGAGCCCAACTGCTCTTCCCAGCGCTCCGAGTTGGACTGGCCCTGGAGGAATTTGGCGCCATCGCCTTGACTGTCAGGCCATTGGTAGGGCAGAGTGGGAAGAGGGGTTTTGTCGTCGACATGCTGAACAGGATAGCGACGATAAAGGTGGAACTGGAGGGTTAGTTGAGGATCAAGTACTATAGTAGAGACAGACATACTTTGATAACCATAGAAATAAGTTTATTGATAGCGTTGCCGATGGAACTGCGGAATTTGATTGCGACAAAGACAACAAGGACCATAAGCGCCTGACTGGCCATGATAGAGGGAGCCATGTTGATATGATTGCATTGAATGTTGATCAGATATTTCCTCTGATTTATACTGATGAATGGGCTTGAATATATAAGAATCCATAGAGTAAACCGCCCCCGGGGCCATTATGTGGTGCATCGGATCCGACGGACTCTCCTTCACAGTCAGATTCTATACATAGGTCTTGATAAGACAGAGTTATCATGAGATGACATTAGATGGAATTTTAGATAGAAGAGTATGTTTCTTATGGGATTGTTCTGACAGTCATAGGAGAAAGCGCCGAACCGCACCGAATCCGCAGTAGTGCGGGTTCGGTGGCAGGGGGTCAGAATCCGCCCTGGTATTGGGTCTCTGAATGGGGTCAGTTAGGTTTTAGTTCGCAAAACCCGCAAAACCAAAGAGAAACTGAACTAGAATTAACCTCGTTTAACCATTTTATATTAGGTACTCATGTGGTATTACAATACGTTATAAACATAAGTTCATAAATTAACCCTTGATCTAGATTTAGTTATTCTGGGAGGTAATAATAAATAAATAAAAAGATACTATTACATTGAATCAAAAATCATAATTAAATAATTAGATTTCACTAATATAATATTTTCTAATTCTAATATGAATTAGAACTATAGTAATAAAAATCTAGTTCAAAAAATCAAGTAAAGACTTTTGAGTATCTTCAATTCTATCTCTTTATGTTGGGATATCAGTCCGGTCAAGTCCTATCTATACCAAACGTTGGTTAACGTTTTGGCGTAGCGGTCTTGAGACTTTATAATCTATACTCTTCTTATATGAGAGGTTTTTGGTAGAACTGGATTCCCGCTTTAGGGTAAATAAGAATCTATAACCTAAACAGATTCTCCTGAATCCTACCAGATGGGACCCGGCCCTGTTCGGGGTCTGACCTCCCCCCCCCCCCCCCCCCCACCCCAATCCAGAGCGGATTGGGCGGTCCGAGGCCCGGTTTCCGGGGACTGTCCTGCCACTCTACATCGGTTAGTACTGCTAAGCTTTGGCTTATTGGTGAATATTACCCCCACCAAGCCACACTGAATTCCACTCTAGTGACTCTACCTATACGGAATAACTGATTTCAACATATGATGATCATCGCGATGTGGCCGCCACTTTGAGAATGTAAGCATGAATAGAGTCATGGCAATCAAGTCTGTTGGATTATGGTCTCGAAAGTAAAACTCAAAGTAAATCATAATTCTATTGTCAAAGTCAAAAGCTAACAAAGATGATGGACATAATAGAGAACAGAAGCTAAGCCTCTTCTCTCTTCACTAACGGCTCCTGGCTCTCTCTCTTGGGATCGTCCTTGAGACCATACTTGGTATTTAATTCCGTCCGCAATGGGATTTCCCTAAACAGTCAGTCGAGCCACAAAATAGAGATTAGAGAGAGATCAGAGACAAAACTTACTTCTCCAAAAACACCAGCAAAAGCCCAACTCCAGCCATGACCGTGGCGAATATCCACACCACCCGAAGACTGTCTGAATAAACCGCGATGACCTGTTCTCGCACGTTGCCCGTCAACGACATGATATATTCTTTCGTTCCGCGCTCGTACCCGGAGCCTCCACTCAGCGTCTCTTGCACCGATTGATCGTTGACCCCCGGCAGGTAATGGTCCACCTGGGCGTTAAAGATGGCCGAAGGGACCGAAACGCCCCACACGACGCCGAATTGGCGCACGAACGCCCACGCAGCGGTGGTCGCGGCCGTGTCCTGGTCGGAGAACTCGGCCTGGACGGCGGGCAGTAGGGTACTGAGCGAGACGCCGGAGCCGAGGGCGACGACAAACTGCACCATGACCCAGGCGCCGGTGGGGGAGTGAACATTGAGCGTGCAGAAGCAGCCAAAGCCGAGGGTGAAGAGGGCAAAGCCGGCAAAGTGGAAGGGTGTGTAGCGACCGATTTTGGAGAGGAGGATACCACTGATGACCGAAGAGGGGACGAGGGCCAGCACCGTGGGCAGCATCATGACACCAGACCGGATCGGAGAGGCGAGGAGGACGGCCTGGAAGTAGACCGGGAGGAAGTAGATGCCGAGCAGGGTGAGCATGGAGTGGATGAAGGTGATGGCTAGGGCTGAGGCGGAGGTACGACGCGCGAAGAGACGCATGGGAAGCGTGGGCACCGCGCAGAAGTTGCTCTGCTCGTAAACGACAAAGACGGCAATGCCGTAGAAACCGAAGATGAGGGAGATGATGGTCGGGTAGGAACTCCACGCCCATTGAGTGCCTCCGTATGCCAGCGCGACGAGGATGAAGGAGATAGCAAGGATGAAGATAACGTTTCCGCCGTAGTCGATCTGCTTCAGCCGGTGACGGAGGGACGAACTGTCGCGGGTGCCGACTTGGAGGAAGACCCAGAGTAGGATTAGGGCAATGCCTCCAATAGGCAGGTTGAGATAGAAGACCCAGCGCCAGGTGGTGCGCTGGACGATGATGCCACCGATGATGGGGCCCAGGGAGGTGCCGACGGAGATGCAGGCAAAGACCACGGCCATCAGACGGCCTCGGTCACGCAGGGGGGCCAGATCGCAGACGATCAGATTGACGAGAATCGTGATGCCTCCGCCGCCGATGCCCTGGATAACACGGCCGGCGACGAGGGCGCCCATGGTGGGCGCAGCGCCGCTGATTGCGCTGCCCGCCATGAACATGACAACGGCGAAGATGATGAGCCATCGACGGCCAAAGATGTCTGCCATTTGACCATACAGCGGTTGAAAGACGGTGCTTTGCGTGCTCATTAGCATGCGTCAACGCATATCAGTAGATGGAGACTTACTTGGTGAGGAAATATCCGGTCGACGCCCAGACATATGCCTGTCCTCCGCCCAGATCATAGACAATGGTAGGCAGCGCCGTGGATATCACCGTTCCTTCTAGCGCGACAAGAAGGTTCGTTATACACAACGCAAACATAACCATCCACATCCGTGCTCCATGCCGGTGGGTTTCTTTCGGTGGTTCTTGTGGCGGTTCGTTTCCGATGTGTCTATCCTTTTCGCCATCCCCTGACCCTGGCTCTGGTTCTGTTTGGACGGCTATCGACTCGCGCATTCCTTTGCTCGGGGCGGAACTTCCTAGCCCATTCGCCCCCCATCCCTGGGACTCGATGGCATCGTGAAAGACTTCACTGGAGACGCTGAGGTTACGGCTCAGCCTACTGACTCTGCTGGCTCTGCTGGCGTTTCGGCGGGGTCGTTGATACCGGCGGGCTGGTGGCAGTTCTGGCCACCCACCAGGGACCTGGCGAAGACTGGACGGTTCGTCCGCGAGCTCAAATACGCGAGGATTTTTGAAGGAGGGGTGTGGCTGAAGTTCTGGCTGGCGGTCTCCGGTTTCTATAACGGTTCTCCCGTTCGCTGGATCAATCGTGGTGGCCATTATGATAGTAGATAGAATTGTGATATTGAACGAAGATGCTCGCTCATTTCTAAGTGTTCTTTATACATATATTCTGCATTCTAACTCTATTGCATTCTCAACCTGATTCCAGTCCTTCAGTCCTTCGGATCCGGGCCGAGTGTCCGATGTTTGGGATCCGACGTTGATGATCCGATGTCCGCGATGGCAGTAGTGTGGCTCATAGGGCTGACTTGGGTCAGTTTATCTGTGTTCAATTTGGCTTCCCTTCACTAGGTAAGATCTGACAGTTTCTTGTGGTAAAGCTGGGCAAAGATTGCAAAGATTACTCAGATTATTTGGATCAATATTTCAAACACCACTTAATTCGGATTGATTATGCCCTCGCGTCAGGCTTACTTCAGGGCCTCGAAACCACTTCGGTGCTTATCGCCCGCTCCGAGTGTTTCAAACATTAGGACCGATATAGGACCGATATGTCTTGTATAGCCTTGTATACAGAAACAGAAAGTATGAAGGCAGAAGAGAAGAAGAAGAGGGAAAAAAACTATATAAACAAGCTTGATGCCGATCGTCTCTCACCAGCAGCAACACAGCAGCACAACACAACCGCACAACACAACAGCACAACAAACTCAAGTCTTGAATAACTCCAACCATTCAATCTACTCCACAATCATCTCTTCAAAATGAAGCTCTTTGCCTTTGCTACTTTCATCGTCTCCGCCCTCGCCATACCCCTTGCCACCCGGAAACTGCCCCTCTGCAGTGCCTCCACTCCTCGCGGGTGCGTCTGTCCCTCTGGCACAACCTTTGTAAATAGCACGACCTGGGCCAGGTATCCTGCTTCCGTCAAAGATGTGACCGCCATCACCGGCAACTGTAAGTTTCTTTCCACATGGTCTATCTTTAGAAACTAATGGACAGACTTTGAAACTGCCTGGTTCGGCTCGAGCCCCGTCGAGACAGCGGGCCACCCCTACATGGTCGGCGCTGACCGTACACTTATGGGAGAGCTTCCCAACACGGACCCCTTCCCTGCGACGGAACGGGTATGGATCATGACACCGTCAATAGAACCACGCTGATGGAAACAGTTGACCGAGTACAAACGATTCCCCTTCCGTTCCGGCTTCCAGATCAAGTACGAAATGGTCGACACGCCTTTCCACTACAATCAAACCAACGGCGAACAAGGTCAGATCGCTGGGTATTGGGAGTACATGGAGGTCCGCGCCATCGGTCCGAATAGGACTCACTGGTTGTGGAATATCTACTCCTGCTTTTCGGCTTCTTCCGGTATGCCCTTGATCATAGATTGGTTGATCTCTGCTAACGTAGTCAGACTTCGAAGCATTCCACGAGAGCGCCATGAACAACGTCTCTTCCATTCTGGAGAGTCGAGGAAAAATGCACGGCCGCCTGGATGGACCCCATAGTTACTAGTCTTTGGTTCTATTGCTTTCTGCAATTTGTTTGTCTTCTGTATGGATCAGGGGGGTTGATAGTTCCACTGGTGCTCCGATGATCAGAGGACGGATTGATCGATTGCGCTGAGTTGGAGTCACATACCTGGGTCGTTCAAAAAAGCCTCAATTGGAAAAATTTTGATTTGTTTAGATATGTTCCTATACGTACTTGTTTTTCTTAGAATGGCCGTAAATTTCCCCTTCTGGATGCCGCCGCTTTAATGACGGGCACTCAGGGGCTTGCTCAGTGAGTTTTAATATAAATAATATCATGAGAGTCTTGAAAATTATCTCAAGTCATATAAGCAGTATTCTGACGGACGGCAAGCGGGGCGCAGGAAACGGCTCCCGGAGTCGCCGACAGGTTGATCTATTGGTGACTATTGCCCCCTTGCCCTCTTAGCTACCCATGTCTCTCTTGTCCGTGAGCACCCTCTCGCATGTGTTGATCGCCGTGCCGCTCGTGCCGGTGAGGCCATGGCGGATCTGACCTGTGACTGAAGGTGGATACGTCAGATACTTCAGGAGTTGCTAGAAGATGGAATTCTGCTTTCATGGCTCTGTTTCCATTAATTTGCACGGTGAAGACGATGAGCCAAATCACCGGGCGAGGGTATGAGGAGGACAATTCAACTCGCAAAAATTAGAGTTTAGAGTATGTTTTCCCTCATCACTTGCACATCCCGTTCTGCTACTGCGTCATTACCGTCTCTTCCACTCTCACATAGTCATATTGCGTCCGAATATCTGTCTCTCCTTGTTCTAGATGCCACCTACATTTCACGTTGACTAGTTCAGGAGATGGATTTCCTCGTCCCCCAAAAAGGACCCCTTATTTCAACCCGCATGCTTGCACCATCCTTCGAATCAGCTCCTTGGCCCTCCCCAATCTATGTTAGCAGGTAGGTCGAGATTCTCCAAAACACCGTCTCACAGGGGCAGATTGTAGGGTGCTGTCGCTTTTGTGGCGACGACTCCCTTTCTTGAAAGCCCTCCATTACTCCAAAGTGATGAGAGATTCTAATGTTTGAAGAGATCTGTTTTACTGCTTGAAGCTTGTGTGCTCCATGAATGCAGTCGATCATTGGTCAGATCTCCGAGCACAGGGTCATCGCATGCATAGAACGTGCAGGGGGTTCTGCATTATTCACGCCCTCTAATTAAATAGTAATCAGGAAAAATGGCTTTCAACAACATCTGGAATTCCGAGAATACTCTTGGGAACGACAAAACCTCATAGGAGCATACTAGTCACTGCGCTCAAATTGTCAAAGGATTCTCTCCATTTCCAAGCAGAATGTAAGAGTTCAAAATCCGAGAATCCCTGATGAGTCTTTTCTTCAGCGTAATCGAGGGGGGTCTTGCCAGCCGAGTCTCTGCTTTGCATATCCAAGGCACCTCTTGAGTGAAGGAACTCTACAAGTTCTTTCGTGAACACACCATAGATTGCTCCATGGTGAATAAAGCACTTCCCGTCTGTATCTCGTGCTGCTGGATCCAAGCCCGAATCAAACAGGAATTTGAGGAGCTCATGATCTGCTCCTCTATGATGCATAAGAAGGTGTGCCAGATTTTCTTGACGTTCATTGACCCATAGCGGATCAGCACCCTTCCGGATGAAGAAGAAAAACATCTCTTTGTCAACCTTCAGATGGAACGAGTCCACATACAGATGAAGGGAGGAGTTTCCCTTTCCGTCGGGTGTATTTATGTTGCAACCCCGCTGTATCAGGAAGTCAACCATGTCAGTATAGCAGAAGACGGACGAGACATGATGATGCAACGGGGTTCTGCCGTGGTTATCTAGCGAGTCCCAAACATCCGAAAGCTCGCTGTCACGAGCCTCTGACATAAACTGCACGACACCCAAACAGCCATGATCCAATGCATAGTGAAACGGATTCAACCCGTCGATATCATTCAGCAGAATATCATGGCCGTCTGCCACAAGGTTGCGTACAACCTCTAGGTTTCCTCTTTTGCTAGCAAGGTGGAGACACGTCTGGTGCGATCCGTTCAGCCTTGAACTATCGGCTCCTTTCTCAATGAGCTTGCGCAAAATAGGCCATGCATAGTCTTTACCAAAGTCTATCACATGCTGAGGGCAATCCCCAGCAGAGTTAGCCAAATCAACGTCGATAGTTTCACTCTCTAGGAGCGTCTCAACAATATCTACCCCAGTGTTGTCAACAAGTCGGTAGATATCAAAAGCTTCTTCACTTTCATGATTAATAAAGATTTTGAAACACTCATTGACGTAACCACCATTCTCCCAGACATCGTCATAATTGCGACCTATAAGGCGGCGCCTGATTGCAAGATGTAACGGGGTGTCGCTGAAATCGGAACGAGCGTTCGGATCGGCCCCATGTCGGAGCAAAAAAGCGGTCATTTTGGAGCATGCGTTCAGAGCAGAGAAATGAAGCGCTGTTAGACCGGAATCTCCATTGTCTCGGGCCACCACTTGCTGGTCGTGAAGACTGTGTGTAATGGTATTCACTAGTCTTCGTTCAGGCCACCATTGTCTTTGGAAACTTTGTCTGACCTCGAATCCATGCCGAAGAAAAACTTGTGCGAGTTCTATATGCGAGTTCCCAATCGCATAAAGGAAAGGTGTCATATTATCTTTGTCATGCTCATATGAGGAGACCCCACTGTCAAGCAAAAAGTCGGCTAGTTTGCAGGCCTTGTCGTGACTGTTTTTGCAAGTTATATGGAGTGCATTTTGATGATCGTTATTCAGAGCATCCACGTATGCCCCAGAATCAACTAAAATCTTTATGACGTCAAGTTGAGAGTGCCGAGCGGCAGTGAGTAGAGGAGTTTCTCCATCCAAATCTTCCTCCTCCAGCTCATCTTGAAAGCACAATATCAATGGGATAATCCCCCAGCGAGCGGCAACATGAGTGGCGGAGAGCCCAGTGACTGGATCACCTCCAGAGCATCGCTTCATGTAGTCGTGACTATCTAGCCACCGTTTCCACGTCCCGCGCCGGTTTCGACAAAATTGTTCAATCTCTCTTGAAACAGTGAATTCCGTCCCAGCCAGATTTGCATGTTCTGGCCAGTGCAGTACTGAATAGCCGAGGAACCCCTGGCTAGAATCCAGTGTTGACCTATCCATGCCTGGCCAACAATATTGAAGAACAACCTCGATACAGCGATGTGAAAGAGCATAGTTTGATACTTTGGGATTGATATCCTGCATCTCCATCTGTAAAAAGTCTTGAACCGACCCATGCAGCATCCGCACATGATCCTTGTCAACGACAATCAACAAATGGCACAAGCCAATAATGTCTCTCGTGAACTGAAGGCGAGTATCAAGATCTTTGTCAAGGTATAGTTGGCATGCCTCAGCTATTTCCATCAATGTCAGAGGTCTTATTGCAAATGCAACAAACTCCAAAATTCTTCTGATGAGTGGGTAATCATCTGGGCTATCAACTGTGGTGGATTTGACAGCTGCGTCGAGCAGATTTTTATATAAAGAATGCAACCCTCGTGGATAAGCATGGAGTCTCTCGATAACCTTCCATGACCGTACCGATTTCAATTCGTCATAAACAATGCCGACCCACAGGAATGTTCCTTCAGCCTTATCTTTGAGGATGCGAGATACTTCCCGAGAAACGGTTTCAGTGTATCTGTTTCTCCTTGCAAGCTTCTTCACTGTATCCTGGATCATATCTTCAAGATCGCGCTCTACACCTTCACAAGACCCGAGGTCTATACATCTGAAGATGGATAGGCAACTCTCGTGGTCGGGATATGGACGGCTGATGATCAACATGTGTAACTTATGTGGGGCCGAACTTGATACGCGTTCCTCGCTGAATGAATGGTATATTTGTTGAAGCAGCATGTCCTGGGAATCAGCTGCGCATTCGTCCAAAGCATCAACAATGCAGTATATCTCAGGACCCTCAACTGCTCTTCCCACATCCATCAAAACTGCCCATAAAGTATCAAATGAAGTAAGGTCATCACATCGAACTTCATATCTTGACATGACACTCCTCATGAACGGTGGGTATTGATTGAGTATCTGACATATGAGGCCCCTTAAGATTGATGTCGCCCCTCGCTGGTGTTCATGGCTGGCTTCGCAAAAGAAGAATGATAGAATATTATGTCCGTCGGTGAAATAATCTTTCTTCGGTAGCTCCTCTACAAGCGTCATGGCCATCGTCGACTTGCCGATTCCCGGGTTACCATATAGCCACAAAACGTTTTGTTCCAGGCTATCGATGTCGTGATCTCGCCGAAACCAAGACGTGAGCTCGGTTGACTCTAGAAACCAGCTGCATGTCCCTGGAGTGCGGTTTACTTTTCTCCGCTTCCAGGAGCTTATGTGTTGTTCAGGATCAGTGTTGAGCAGTATTGCTAGAGACCCTTTTCTTTCGGTAAATTCGAATCCTACAAAGCCAGTTAATAGGATTCTCAGTAGCAAAAAAAAATACTAAAAGACGAATACCTTCTTCGGATACGGTGCCCTGCACTAGGGGAACGAGTGATAAGAGTGCCTTCGTATAAGCGGATGCGGCAAGAGCTGCATAGCCCTGCCAGTTTTTCTGCTTGTGGGAATCACAGTAGTCACAGATCCCTCGTATGACTAGACATGAAAGCTGATCCATAATTCCCGCCGCTTCCATTTCAAAACAGAGGGCAGGGAGATCTTTGGCAATGGAGTCTCGTGTCTGAGCATCCTTCATGACTTGATTACCGGACGCAATTAGGCCGTAATGAATATGCGGTTCATCAGTTGCCCGTGGTTCACGCAGAACCAGTTTTTCTTTGTCACACGATAAACAGTTTGGATTGCCTCTGTGATGCTCATACATTGCGTGAAAGAGCCAGTCATTATGTGGGCGAGAAAAGTGCCCGATTGCCTGGTGTCGCTGCAAGGAATCGGCAACTATTCGCTTGGGCTTCGACTCTGGTAATACGTAGGATGCGCGCATCTTGGAAAGAACGGTCAGGAGGAGCGGAGATGGCTTGTTGAGACACCCCGTCGGCTCCAAGTGTCCATGACACATTTTCCCTTGATCGTATTGAAACACACCTCCGTATTTTTCGGTAGGCATACTGACGACCACATCACCGAGGCGAACATCGGCTCCGTTGAAAGGCACCCCCCCTCCGACCCCGACCATCAACCCGAATCTAATAGAGGGAAATGTTCGTTTCAAATGAGCCACCGAGGATGTAGCAGAATTCGTGCCATAGACGCCTGACGGTAGGCAGGCAATTACTATATTATGTCCACTCATGCATCCAAGGGTGTAGGTATTACAGTCGGTATCCGGTTGGGGAAGTGGAGTGAACGCTATCGAGTAGGGTTGTTGCAGCCGCCAGTTCAATCGACAATGCGCATATCCAGGCGACCGTGTACTCATGGCGTAATATAGTCCGAGTCGACATTCTATAGGATAGTGAGAGAGAGACTATAAATGATGATATCAGGAACCTGGGTGCAAAATTATTATTGTAGAACAGTGCAAAGGATAACAGAGACGGCGAGTGGAACCTTGCCAGGACGGTTGAGGGGTAGTCAGCCCGCAAGGCTGGCTGTACTATCCAGGTGGCCGTGGTCCAGAGCGCTCAACTTTACAGAGTTAGTAGCTTTCCTCTCATATCGGTCGCTTTTTATCTGGGCGATCTTCACGGCAGGAGCGGTACAGCATGGCCGTCTCTAGTCGGCGGCCCTCTCTCAGACCTTTCTAAAGGCCTATAGCCTTGCTTCTTAGATGTAGAGTTTCTGTGCTAATAAAACCCAACTGCAGCTCCAGTGTATTTGGAGGGCCACCGCTAATGTTAGTGACAATAATCATAGCCGTATTCAATCTCATTAGCTGCATATAAGCGCCGGTAGAGAGGATAGCAGTCACTTAAGCACCCCCGCTGAACACAGACCCCACTCTCGCAATACACCCCACCCTATGTCCAGTCGCTAATGCCATTGAGCAGCAATTGACAGACCCTTGGGGATATTTGTCTTTCCGTGAGATGGCTTGCTCACATATTTCCATTACGCGAGAAGTACTTGTTTCTTAACTTGAAAATGCCCAACTCCGATCCTAGTAGGTCTGTTGCTGGCAACACCTCATTCCCTAGTCCAACAGCCTACGTATGCGATAGATGTTGGCAGGGTTTCTTCAACACCGAGGCTTATGAAAAGTGCTTTACTTTGCATCATATTGATGCGAACTACAATCAAAATAGGACTGAAGCTCTCGCCACTGTCCATGAAATAAATAACACTGTTTGTAACTGGTGTGCTTATATCAGAAATTTTATTCGTGACAAATGGGCGCCAGAAGATCTGATAACGACATCTTTTAGCCCAAGCACAATCTCTTCTTGCACGCCCACTGGCAGCAATATATTCTACTTAAACATTTCATGCCATTCACCATTGGGAAAATGGAAAGGAGGCGCCGCCCTTCATCTTCACGCCTTTACCACAGCACAGGATCCCGCTTCGGACTATGTGACTGCGAGGCCGCTGAGAACAGACATTAACAGTGACGAGGCAAAGGTTCAGATCAGAGAATGGCTTAGAGACTGTAAGGAGCATACGTGCTGCAGAACTCTACACAAGAACCCCAGCCTTCCTACGAGAGTCATCGAAGTCAGTCCTCCAGGAAGACAATATGCGCGGGTATTGGAGTCTAAAAACCTGCGTGGTCTTTATGCTACGCTCTCCTACTGTTGGGGGAAGGAAAGCTTTCTAAGTCTCACTCATTCTAATTATATGAAACTCACCGAAGGATTGGATGAAGAAACTCTGCCTCCCACCATCCGTGATGCTCTTGCAACTGCCCGCACCTTGTCCATCCCGTACTTGTGGGTTGACGCTCTGTGCATAATTCAGGATTCTGAAGAGGACAAAGCAAAGGAAACCGCACGAATGAAAGAGGTTTATGCCTCTTCAGTTCTGACGATAGTCGCTGCATCTGCAGAAAATGTCTCTGCGGGATTTCTGTATCCTCGTGTACACCGGGAGATTGTTCACACTATCCCAGTCCGGCTTCAGCCTGACGCATTTGGCACCATGTGCATCAATGAATTAGACGCCGTGTGCTACGACGAGCGTCTTGAGCCTATCTCAAAGCGTGGCTGGGCCATGCAAGAGCAACTTTTGAGCAGTTCTGTCCTCATTTTTACAAGTCGCACTATAATGTGGAGATGCCGGGGAGGCATAAAAAACTTTGGTGATTCCTTGTATTTTCCGCATGACCTTGACGCGGGTTATAACACCCACGATGAAAAGTACAGTCTCAACCTGCACACGTTGCTTCTTAGCCGCGAAGAGGCTTGTGCTCATAAAGACCAAGCCTTAAGTTGTTGGCTGCGCCTTGTCACGGCGTATTCAATCAGAGTTACAAGCCTGGAGCGTGACAGGCTAAATGCTCTGGCCGGCCTCGCCTCTCATCCTTCATTTTGCCACGCGCTTGGGCCTAGCTACTTTGCTGGGCTGTGGCAATACAACATTGCGAGGCAGCTCTTATGGCGAACATCAACCTGGCACAGGTCACTAGCTGAGGATGAAAGTTTCACAATTGAGAAGCCAGCGATTTACCAGGCTCCTTCTTGGTCATGGGCGAGTCTCAAAGGGGGAATGGTATACTTTGACTTCTCTTATGGTGAAGAAGAGACTACTCCTAGAGTCATCTGCGAAATCCTAGACTGCTCAACAACGCCAACATTTCCAGAACTGAACCCATTTGGAGAAATCCTGTCGGCACAGCTGAGGCTCAGAGCCCCTGCTCGAAAGGCGTGGTTCAAGCCTTCCACGTCCAATGTTTTTGTGCTTTCTGATTATGCCTGTGACCAACCCAAGGGTATGGCTCCCAAGGATGAGAAAGTCAGTCTTGTCGAGGCTTTTCAAATACATGTGAAAGACTTCAGGCTGAGATATCCTGATGTGAATACGACTGAAGAGCCGGAGGCTGTGTATGGTACAGATCCACGCAATATGTGTGGCACGTGTGACGAGACGGAATTCCACGAGTATTACTTGGTCTTATGTGTGGCTATTAATGTGGACGATCAAAGAAACGATGCAGTGCAAGGACTGCTCCTCATTGAGGAAGAAGATGAGAGGAGTATTTCCACGTTCAAGAGAATTGGGATTTTTGAAAGAGGGAGGAACGCCGATTTTAATATTGAAAAAATTTCCGAGGTCTCCATCATATAAACTCGATTGAGTTACGCAGGATATTTCAGAAACACTCGTCAACATCTCAGTGGTTGTCGCTCCGGCGGTTGTACGGATGGCTCCAGACTCCCGTGATGGTTCCAGGATAGAGAAGTGCATCGGATTTCGAAGCTCTTCCTTCGAAAATTCCCCAAACGTTCATTAAGTATGGGGTTAGAGTCATAGTCTTGCAGCGCAGGGGATATAGGCAGTGAAGGAGAAAAAAAATCAGAGAGGCTAGATGATGGATTATTCGATCTAGTTATTGACACTGAAGAAGATCCCTCTGCTAAGACCCAACCATCGCCAGCGCTGAGCAGGGTTGCCCTTGGTCAGAGACCTCTTAGGTATCAGGAATAAATCTTTGATTGAGCTCGGAGGCGAGGATAAAGATGTTGAAGAAGATGAAATTTCGCTACCTGATAATTTAAATCCGTAGGGTGAAAATGGTACCCAGCATACATCGGGGCGAGTTTCAACGTTCAAACCGGGATGATAATGAATGGGGGTATATAAAGCCCTAGATTCAATGGAGTTAGAGAGACTTGAATAGATTTCGGCATACATAACAGAGTGATTGGAATAGGTTTCGGACCCTAGATCGGGGCATCCAAAACCCCGTAAAGTCTTAATATGATGTATGCAGCTAAGGATAGACTGGGTCCTGTAACGCCTTGCGTAGCTGGTGAAGGCCGCGGGTATAGTACTTCAGACTTTGCTTGACTAGAGTAGGATTGTGGAAAATGTGCCCTAATACCGAGGCTGAGACTGCTGCACTTTACATCTCCAGTGCCGACCTTGTGGGAGGCAAACCATCCAAGTAAGGCAATCCTTCGTGGGAATAGAATATGCACTAAACTCTACTACACAAGTGGACCCACCCTTGAGCCGGGTGGACCGACGGGTGCATCCGAGATCCTAGCGGGGGAAATACCGCCAGTACTAGTCAGTACCGTTTCGGCGTTGAGGTCTTTTCGCTCAGCTTACCCTCTCCCTAATAACTAGGCTAGATTGCGCCATAAGGCCTCATTAGCAGATCGTCGGGGTGCAAATGAGCCTTGTGTCGCCTCGATCTATTTAAAGCACTCCACTTAAGCCGTACGTGATAGGGATCGCTTTAAGAGGTTCAAACTAGGCTAGAGCTAAACCAGTATAGATTGCAGCCCGTCTGTAGACTGCTAACTGTAACACTCGAGCGACTCGTCCACCGACATCCAGCGTCTGTTTTCATCCAACGTCTGTTTTCTTCCCAACACAAATTTCGTCCCTATTCTACGAACATCTCGACCTCCCTCCTTCTCAAGGTTCGACATCATACACAACCGTCTCACGTAGATAGCCATGCCCCCCAAACCTGGCCGCCTTGCTTCCATTCTCCGTCCATGGGGCCTGATCTGGTTTTCCATTTGCCGTAAGCCGTTGTCACCCCCACCGCCAATTTCTTCTAGAACTCTACTAATCATCCCTCCCCTACAGTGCACTGGGAAGCCTTGACACAAGCGGTTCGTCGAGAGGGTCTCGCCGCACTTGGCCACCCACGACGAATTCGAGATGCCGCTTCAGCAAAGTTGCTCAGTATAACCTGTAACCCAACCCACTCGTCATATCTTCCCTTCACTCAACTCGTGTACACAGTAGACTGACCATCATGCGCAGCTGGCAATTTCATCGCTTACGAAGACACAACCATTGTTCCCTCGCTCGTACAAGCCGCTGGCGGCGTTGTTCTCGAACTGGGCCCGGGGCCGGGCAATCAGATCCATCGTTATGATACCTCTGTTGTCAAACATGTCTATGGTGTTGAACCTAACCCCCACTTTGGAAAAACCATAAATGCCAACTTGGACAAGCATGATTTGCGGGATAGGTATAAGCTTATAGTTTGTGGCGTTGAAGATAGCGATGTTCTGAGAGAAGAGGGAATCACGGAAGCGAGTGTGGATGCCGTGTTATGCATCCAGGTCCTGTGTGCCGTAAAGGATCCAAAGAACGTGATGAAGGAGGTGTGGAAGTTGCTCAAGCCTGGGGGAAAATTTATATTCTGGGAACACGGGTGGAGTAGAGACCGTTTGACAGGTGTAGCGCAAGGTATGTCTTGTCTCTGCCAACCGTTATATTTTTCTGGGTGGACTCTATAAATGCTTGTCTCTAGTGGCGCGAACGACGAGCGGTGCAGACCGGCTAACGTGAAATAACCTTAGCTTGCTGGAATCCTGCTTGGAGCACATTTGTCGGATGTCATTTGACCCGAAATGTGTTGGCGGACATTCTCGATAGTGGAGAGTGGGAAAATCCGCACCAGATCGAAGAACCTGAAGAACCGTTTAGTTTGCTGCCCAGGATTCAAGGTGTACTTGTCAAGCAAAAGGCTTAATGAGATCTTCATTAGAGCAAGTCCATTCTCACTGGTGGTCATATCAAGTTGGACATAAAAACTTTTTGTGATGAATTACTATTCCTGTGACTCGGGCATGGCTGAAGACTCTGTTCAGTGGGTAGGGTATACCGCCAACACATAAGAAGACAAAGGAGAGACCTACTACAATGTACCAGAAGCAGCAGCTTAGACAGTCCAAAGGACGAAATTTCCTTTCCGGTTCATTGCACAGTAGCTATGTGATAGCACTTAATACCTATGTTCCCAAATCAAAACCCAGCTTATGCCAATTCAATTTACCCCTCAAGCCCCCTCCCTGTCCCACGACTATTCACCACCAAGCTGCAATGTCACCAATCAAGTATCACAGGTCTGTCCCTGCACTATTCAAAGAGTCTTCCCCTGCCAATGACACTGCTGATCATAAGAACCTCGTGAAGCACAATAAGGTGGTACCGCTGATGCAGAAAGAGAACCGGGCCAAGCTGCAGTACCATGGTCCGTCTATAGGGCGTATGTTCGAGCTTCTGGAACAATATTAAATGTGCCTTTTGCTTTTCTACTCTTGGTATTGGCTCAAGGGTCGAACTTTTCCACGAATCTCTGGCTCTCTTTCTATCAGATGGGTTTGGATACTCAACTGGCCTCTATATTGGTGTCTATGCCGCCCTTGGCGGTATACAAGCATTGCTAATGCTCGCCTTCGCTCTTATGCTATCTGTCTTGGGGGCGAATGCCAGCAAAGTTATGTTTCGGCAAGCGATGGCTCAAGTCTTACGCGCGTCAACGTCTTTCTGTGATGTAACACCTCTTGGCCGTATCATCAATCGCTTTTCAAGGGATGTCGATGTTATGGACAATAATCTATCAGATGCTATGAGAATGTATCTTTTCACTAAAGGCGCGGCCAGTGCTATCTTCATCCTCATAATCGCCTATTGCTACTATTTGGCCATTGCAATAGTCCCGTTCCATATCTTCTATATTGGAGCTGCAGCATACTACCGTTCATCGCTCGTGAGATAAAGCGTCACGAGTCGGTTTTACGGTCAGCAGTTTTCGCTAAATTCAGTGAGGGACTGAGCGGTGTGCCTTGCATCCAGGCTTATGGCCTTGAAGGCCGATTCGTCAACGACCTTCGTCCGTCCATTGATTCGATGAATGCTGCCTACTACTTGACTTTTGCCATTCAACGATGGCTCACTCTTCGACTTGATGCCATCGGCAACTTGCTCGTCTTAATTGTTGGTATTTTTGCGGTTACTGCACGATTTAGTGTAAACCCCGGTGGTCTGGTGCTGAGCTACGTTCTCTCCGTTGTTCAGATGCTTCAATTCTCTATCCGGCGGTTGTCAGAAGTAGACAAAGGCATGAATTCAGTCGAGCGCCTCCGCTACTTTGGCGTAGAACTCGAAGAAAAAGCCCCCCTGCATACTATTGATGTGCGTGAAAGTTGGCCCGAGAAGGGTGAGATCGTCTTCAACGATGTCGCCATCCGATATCGCAAAAACCTACCTCTTGTGTTGCAGGGCCTGTCCTTGCATAACAAGGGTGGTGAACGCATTGGCGTTGTTGGTCGTACTAGTGCGGGCAAGTCATTGATCACGGATGCTCTATTTAGACCCGTGGAAATATCTGCAGGTTCCATTACCATTGATGGTGTCAATATATCTCGGATTGGGCTTCTGGGCCTACGATCGCGTTTAACCATCATTCCATAGGATCAAACGCTATTACAAGGCACTATCCGTAGCAACCTCGACCCCTTCCACGAGCACACGGATCTGGCACTTTGGTCTGCTCTACGCAAGACGGGCTTGATACGAGCCGGCGCAGACGACACAAAGCTCGAAGACCGCAAAGATGACACCGGTCCTGGTCCTCAGATCCATCTCGACAGCGTCGTCGAAGAAGAGGGGCGGAACTTCTCCCTCGTCCAGCGCCAGCTCTGCTCATGGCTCTCGCAAGAGCTCTAGTGCGTGATACCCGAATCGTCATCTGTGACGAGGCCACGTCAAGCGTGGACATGGAGACCGATGACAAGATCCAACTCGCGATGGTGTCAGGCTTCCGCGGCAAAACCTTGCTTTGCATTGCGCATCGTCTCCGAACCATCATAGGGTACGATCGGATCTGCGTTGTGGATGCTGGGCAAATCGCACAGTTTGATACCCCTGCAAATCTGTATTGCGAGGAAGGCGGCATCTTTCGCGGCATGTGCGAACGCAGCAGCATCCGGCTAGAGGATATCGAGTCTGCTAGAGATACCATCACAACTTTTGACGATACAAATCGGCGCTAGACATCTACCTTCCCTCCTGCACATGGACCAGACTGAGTCTCAACCATCTGTCTAGACACTGCAAAACGGCGCTTGAGCGACAATGAGCTGACAATTTCGGTAATGTTTACTTCTATCTTGCATACTTCTCTTGGTCGGAGTCAGACTTATCGTTGGAGGAGGCGCTCTGGAAGGTAGCGATGTCCTCACTGGTGTTAAGCTTTTCAAACCCGGATACTTCGTCGTGATAATTATTGCCGAGTGTTCACTTACCATGCAAGAATACTGTGAACACAATGATGGTGTCTTTTGGTTCCAAGCAGAACGGTTCGCAGCGACCCTGATAGATCTAATTAAATTTTCCGACCAGGGCTAGTTGTTTTTTTTTCTTTCTTTTTTTCAGATTCACAAAACCATGGCTCTCACTACACCCTACATAGTCGTCCGTATCACATACCTCTTTCCATCCGTATACGACGCATCCGACCCTAGGTGGAACGCTCTGGACGGGCCAATTTCACGATGGCGTTGTTAATGGAATACTCTGTTGTTTGGATCTATCTCGTTACGGGCTTTGTTATTCCCAGTCGAAGGAACATAAATCGGCCAGAAATCTTCCCAGATGGTGAGGCAAGATGACTAGAAGAATGCAGAACAAGGAACATAGTATGAGAGTGTCCTTGGGAACCTGATGGAATGATGTTTGGTTTGAGGGTGAATAGCGTTTACAGGGGCCTTTTGGGCGCCGAATAAGTAATCGAGTATTACATATAGCGAATCTCCACTAGAAATTACAGGTAGAGATGCGGCCGTCTATGGCCTCAATAGCAGTGATTTTCATTATCGATTTCACAAGCCCTCTTGTTCTAGTTGTAAAGTGCCTGTCTGGTGGAGTCATGGAGTTTCTTATATAAAGAGCGCCATGCCCTTTCTCAAGCTAGTTAGGCGTATTAGGATTGATCTACCTATTTGGTAAAAGCATGACCTCCAACCAATGTACACCACTAAAATATATAAATATAAAAACTAAAGCCCTAAAGCCCTCGAGGTCTCTCAGGTCTATTGGCCCTCGTTGACTATTCTTGATATCAGCCACAGCCAACGGAGCAGAAAAAATGAAGACTATAATTTTCTATTTTATTACTAAAGCCATCTCTTTCTTGAGTGAGCAAAAGTAGATGACAGTCAAGAGCACTACAAGTGAAAATAGACACTAGTGTGACTGTAGCGTGGTGTGTTTTTTGAAGACCACCCTACGCAGGCTACTCACGCCTCTGCTCAGCTCCTACTCAGTGATCAGCCCAGGGCGCTCAGGGTGTGCTCAGGTACACTCAGTGAACAAAAAGCGGCAAAGGGTAAGCACTAAAAGGGAGAGAGAAAAAGCCTTCAGACTGTCTAGAAAATCAAGTATTCTTAGAAGACATATATATATACACACCGAGCTGACATAGAGTCAGCTGACATGCCAACCGATTACAGTCACTTCTACATGTTTGACAATGGTCTATTTTTGATTATCAGTAACATTCCAGCAATGAAATAGTTCACAATAAGTCAGAGTATAATGAAAATAATAAGCGCTTATTCATCATAATAATCAACTCCTGGTTCAAGGTATCTAATCTATTCAACAGTAATCGCCTTTTCCACCGCAATCTCGCTCTTTTGCCCTTCAGCAGCAGCCTTTTCCTGCTCCTTGGCCCTCGCAAAGTACTCGCACATCGCGTGCCCCCCTCGCTGGTTGAAGAAGAGGTTCAGGTACATCCATGTCTCTCGCGCGTATCCTTCGGCCCGAGGGAACATGCTCTCTTCATACTGACGGATGGCCGTAGACAGCCCAGACACGTTCGAGAATGGCTGTGCTTCTTCCCAGCTAGCTTTGCAGGCAATGATGGCGTGGGCCAGCTCCAGGGCATCCTCCATGCCGACGTTGACACCAACACCCGCAAAGGGGGTCATCAAGTGTGCGGCATCGCCAATGAGAGTAGCACTGTCTCATTATTAATATCATCCACATGCTTATAATCACTGTCTGAGGGAGACTTACCCAGCACGGTGCAGCCACCGGTGTCCAATTGGCAGCATGTACATAGGCCGAGGAACGACATCGTTGTCGGCGTCGAGCATCAGGTTCTTTGCGTCGTCGTTGAAGCCGTTGTAGTACCGGTTGACAAACTGGCGCTTGGCCTCCTCGGGTTTGGTCCAGTCGATTCCGCAGGTGGTGTGCCAGTCTTCGGGCAGGCGCATGAAGCCGTAGCTACGCACGCAACCATCGCCATTCCGCTGGGACAGGACGGTGGTGTGGCTGCCCAGGGTCAGACACATGCCGTTGCCGACTCGCTTGGCGAGCGCCGGATCGGCGGTTTCAATGTCGCTGTACTTGACATCGATGCCACTGATGCCGGAAAACACGGGCCGGGTGTCGGTGATGATGTGGCGGACCTTTGACCAGGCACCGTCTGCGCCGACGACGAGATCGAAGCCGGTCTCGACGTGGTCCTGGAAGTGCAGGTCGTACTGCAGACGGGCGCCGCTGGCGTCGGTCTTGACAGCCGTGAGCTTGTGGCCCCATTTGAGACTGGCAAACTCGAGCGAGTCAATCAGCATGTTACGCAAATCGACGCGGTCAACTTCCGGTCGGCCGTTGAAGGAGTCGGGGCGGCGCTCGCCGTAGTCGGAGCCTTCGTCGAGAAGGAGCGTGCCGTCGGGCTGGTAGATCTTGAGCACCTCTCCTTCGGTGCGGGCAACGGCGAGGAACTGGTCGTAGAGACCACATTCACGCAGGGCGACCTGAGCGGAGCCTTCGTGGATATCGAGACAGCCGCCTTGCGTGCGGGCGTGGCGGTTGAGTTCGGCTTCATAGACAGTGCAGGGGATGCTGCTGGCCTGGAGGAGACGGGCCAGAGTGAGGCCAGCGGGGCCAGCTGGATAAGTGAGCATTGGATTTAATAGAATCGAAGATCAAGAGAATATTGAACGAGATACTTACCACCAATGATAGCAATCTTCGGAGGAGCCATTGTATAACTTTTTGTGGGACTTGGTGTTGGGCTGTTCGTATAGTTGCGTGTTGATGATATGAATTTCAACGAGCGAAGAGAAAGAAGACAGACCTGGACTTATATACTTCTTCGCTGACTCCGAGTTCATAGAATGTGGGGGGGATTAGTCGAGGGTAAGCCGGATCCGACGCGACGGACCCGACATGAGGCAGGAACCGCAAAAGGGCCGGTGCTCGGTTTGAGGTCCTAAAATAACCCTGGAAAAACGCCGAACTTAGTCAGTCTGCGACGGACGAAACTTTCGATCGAGGCCGGACTTCAGTCTATCGCACCTCTGGCTGAGCCCGGAGATGGTCCGGAGACGGCTTCATCTCGGGCTGACATTGCGATGGAGCTTACAACTTTCGTGAGATTGAGACACGACGAGGAGATGAACTTGGGTGTTTTGTGTCGACTGAACAGCCTCAATCTACAACCTCCATGAGATGGATATATAAAAGGAGAGAAAGGGATCGACTATAGCATCTTTATCATCAGCATCAACAACTACAACAGCTTCACAGCTACAGTACAACACAGCCCAAATCAGACCCCTCAATCGTCGCGATTCATCTAGACATCCCACCACCTGAGGACTTCACTTCTACAAAATGCAGACCACCATCATCAACCACGCCGCTCGTCTTCTCCAGCTCCCCGTCGAGAGCATCGAGTTATCCTCCAGCTTCGTCAATCTCGGTGGCCACTCCCTGGTCGCCCTCGGACTGGCTTCCGCCTGTAGCAAGGATGGCATCCAGTTGACTCTCGAGTCCATTCTCCTGAGCCCTTCCATGTCCGATCTGATCGCCTCTGCCGTCGTCGCATCTCCGCCGCAGACTCATGCTCAGGCGGAGACTCAGACTCAGCCGCCATCTCAACCCCAGCTGGCCGAAAAGAAAGTCAAGGAAGTCACAGCGTGTGTCGACGAGTCCCTGACCGAAATGCAGCTCTCCTTCCTCCACAGCCACCAGACGTCGCCCGGATCCAACATGATCAACTTCTTCGAGACCTACCAGACTGCCCATGTCCCCATCGTCAAAGCCGCCTGGCAGACCGTCATCCAGACGGAGGACATTTTCCGCATGTTCTTTGACGCGGACGACTGCCACGAACAGCCTACCGCTCCTTTCAAGTGGACCGAAACGGTAGTCTCCTCTCGGGAAGAGTATGAGGCCGCTCTGCGCAAGGATGCCGATTCGGCGGGGATCGAATGCTCCTTTGACATTGTTACCCTCCCGGCGGCCGGAATCAGCACCATCGTCTGGCGCGTCCACCACGCCTTTGTAGACGGCATGTCTGGTCAGCTCGTCTACGGCAAAGTCCGCGATGTCATTGCGGGCCGCACCATCACCCCTGGCACTCCGTTCCGCAGCGTCGCCAACGACCTCCGCCGTCTGCAGCAGGAAGATCAGCAGAAGCACCAGCAGTTCTGGGCTCAGCAGAAGAAGCAGCATCCGCAGCCCGTCGGAGAGCTCGTCCTTCCCCCTGTCCGGGAGGAGATGCCCGCTGGAATTGATAGCGTCGCATTCTCCATTCCGCTCGCCGAGATCTCCGGCCACGCCCGTCAGACCGGAGTCTCCTTGGCCGCCTGGTATCACGCCGCCTGGGCCATGGTCCTCTCCCTCTACGCCGACTCGGACTCGGTCGTCTTTGGAACCGTCCTGTCTGGCCGCAACCTTCCCATCGCGGGTGTTCAGGACACCATTGGCCCTCTACTCAACGTGCTTCCCTTCCACGCTGCCCTGGATCGCCAGATGTCGACCCGCGACTTCCTGCGCACCATTTTTGCTCACTCGGTGCAGCTGGCTACGGTGCAGAGTTCTCTGCCTGACGACGGCTACAGCAGAAACTTCACCTCGGCGATTGCCATGGAGTTTGAGATGGTGGCGACTGACGACTGCCCGGTCCGCCCAGTGGAAAAGTCCTGGTTCCGCGTGGTCCCCGACACTCCACTGTCGGTCTACACCACCTACGACGGCACTCTCCGTCTCTGCTTCCGGCCGCAGCAGTACGACCGTCAAGACATCCAACTACTAGCTGACCACTTCCAAAATGCCATCCTCTCC